AGCAAATTACTCCAACATGATAAAATCTCTCTGAATGACAAGAAAAAACAAATATGGTCAAAAGCTGTGAAAAATCTATTTTGTTCTAATTATATTGAACACTCCTAGAATCTTCCAGCTCCAATAATGAGAATTAATGGACTTGTATTTCTCGTCTTCCGTAATCTGCCGTCATTTGTCTGGTGTCTGCATCTCTCATTTTTCACATTTGCGCCAGAACGAGCCGCAACGATGGAAATGGAATGATAGATTTAAAATATTCATGATGTGTACCTGCCGCGCCGCTATCGAGTTCTTTTCCCTCTGAACAAAATTAAATTAACTATTTCACAAGCCCCAGCTGCAATGATTTGTAATTAGCAATAGCAAATTATGTTTCCTGTAAATGCTACAGTGTCTATACCGAGCGAGGGAAAACTGAGCCAAGACAAAATCAGAAGAAAAGCAAGGGTCTAAAGAGAAGGCAGTAGGAATGGGTTTTATAATCTTCAAATGTAGTTTTTTTTTTTGCCTGAATGACACATGTTTTGAATATATAAATAAAAATATTATTTACAGAAATTTACCCAATATCTAATGATTGAGGCATTTAACAGTAAAAAGAGTTAAAGCTAAGGATTGAAAGGCCTACTTCAATCACAGTTTTAAAATGTTTTAAAGCAGTGTTCAAAGAGTAAAGTAAATCAGAGGCAACTGTATTTTTATAATTTTGTGAGTGAACGCTGATATGACTGGACTCGTACACAACACAGTACCTGTTATCGCTGCTCTAGTGGAGTTACTTTTACTGCCGCTGCCCAGAAAGCTCAATATTCTGTACTTCAAAATATTATAATATAAATACAGTGCCTTGCGAAAGTATTCGGCCCCCTTGAACCTTCCAACATTTCGCCACATTTCAGGCTTCAAACATAAAGATATAACATTTTAATTTTTTTTCATGAATCAACAACAAGTGGGACACAATCGTGAAGTGGAACGAAATGTATTGGATAATTTAAACTTTTTTAACAAATAAAAAACTGAAAAGTGGGGTGTGCAATATTATTCGGCCCCTTTACTTTCAGTGCAGCAAACTCACTCCAGAAGTTCAGTGAGGATCTTTGAATGATCCAATGTTGTCCTAAATGACTGATGATGATAAATAGAATGCACCTGTGTGTAATCAAGTCTCCGTATAAATGCACCTGCTCTTTGATAGTCTCAGGGTTCTGTTTAAAGCGCAGAGAGAACCATGAAGACAAAGGAACACACCAGGCAGGTCCGAGATACTGTTGTGGAGAAGTTTAAAGCCGGATTTGGATACAAAAAGATTTCCCAAACTTTAAACATCTCAAGGAGCACTGTGCAAGCAATTATATTGAAATGGAAGGAGTATCAGACCACTGCAAATCTACCAAGACCCGGCCGTCCCTCCAAACTTTCATCTCAAACAAGGAGAAGACTGATCAGAGATGCAGCCAAGGGGCCCATGATCACTCTGGATGAACTGCAGATAACTACAGCTGAGGTGGGAGAGTCTGTCCATAGGAAAACAATCAGTCGTGCACTGCACAAATCTGGCCTTTATGGAAGAGTGGCAAGAAGAAAGCCATTTCTCAAAGATATCCATAAAAAGTCTCGTTTAAAGTTTGCCACAAGCCACCTGGGAGACACACCAAACATGTGGAAGAAGGTGCTCTGGTCAGATGAAACCAAAATCGAACTTTTTGGCCACAATGCAAAACGATATGTTTGGCATAAAAGCAACAAAGCTCATCACCATGAACACACCATCCCCACTGTCAAACATGGTGGTGGCAGCATCATGGTTTGGGCCTGCTTTTCTTCAGCAGGGACAGGGAAGATGGCTAAAATTGATGGGAGGATGGATGAAGCCAAATACAGGACCATTGTGGAAGAAAACCTGTTGGAGTCTGCAAAAGACCTGAGACTGGGACGGAGATTTATCTTCCAACAGGACAATGATCCAAAACATAAAGCCAAATCTACAATGGAATGGTTCACAAATAGACGTATCCAGGTGTTAGAATGGCCAAGTCAAAGTCCAGACCTGAATCCAATCGAGAATCTGTGGAAAGAGCTGAAGACTGCTGTTCACAAACGCTCTCCATCCAACCTCACTGAGCTCAAGCTGTTTTGCAAGGAAGAATGGGCAAGAATTCCAGTCTCTCGATGTGCAAAACTGATAGAGACATACCCCAAGCGACTTGCAGCTGTAATTGTAGCAAAAGGTGGCGCTAAAAAATATTAGCGCAAGGGGGCCAAATAATATTGCACGCCCCACTTTTCAGTTTTTTATTTGTTAAAAAAGTTTAAATTATCCAATAAATTTCGTTCCACTTCACGATTGTGTCCCACTTGTTATTGATTCTTGACAAAAAAATATATTTTTGTATCTTTATGTTTGAAGCCTGAAATGTGGCGAAATGTTGAAAAGTTCAAGGGGGCCGAATACTTTCGCAAGGCACTGTATTTGCCACATTTCAGACTTAAACATATATAATATTAAATTTTTTGTCAAGAATCAACAACAAGTGGGACACAATCGTGAAGTGGAACAAAATTTATTGGATAATTTAAACTTTTTTAACAAATAAAAAACTGAAAAGTGGGGCGTGCAATATTATTCGGCCCCCTTGCGCTAATACTTTGTAGCGCCACCTTTTGCTGCAATTACAGCTGCAAGTCGCTTGGGGTTTGTCTCTATCAGTTTTGCACATCGAGAGACTGGAATTCTTGACCATTCTTCCTTGCAAAACAGCTCGAGCTCAGTGAGGTTGGATGGAGAGCGTTTGTGAACAGGAGTCTTCAGCTCTTTCCACAGATTCTCAATTGGATTCAGGTCTGGACTTTGACTTGGCCATTCTAACACCTGGATACATCTATTTGTGAACCATTCCATTGTAGATTTGGAGTCTTTTGCAGACTCCAACAGGTTTTCTTCCAGAATGGTCCTGTATTTGGCTCCATCCATCTTCCCATAAATTTTAGCCATCTTCCCTGTCCCTGCTGAAGAAAAGCAGGCCCAAACCATGATGCTGCCACCATGTTTGACAGTGGGGATGGTGTGTTCAGGGTGATGAGCTGTGTTGCTTTTACTCCAAACATATCGTTTTGCATTGTGGCCAAAAAGTTCGATTTTGGTTTCATCTGACCAGAGCACCTTCTTCCACATGTTTGGTGTGTCTCCCAGGTGGCTTGTGGCAAACTTTAAACAAGACTTTTTATGGATATCTTTGAGAAATGGCTTTCTTCTTGCCACTCTTCCATAAAGGCCAAATTTGTGCAGTGCATGACTGATTGTTGTCCTATGGACAGACTCTCCCACCTCAGCTGTAGTTATCTGCAGTTCATCCAGAGTGATCATGGGCCTCTTGGCTGCATCTCTGATCAGTCTTCTCCTTGTTTGAGATGAAAGTTTGGAGGGACGGCCGGGTCTTGGTAGATTTGCAGTGGTCTGATACTCCTTCCATTTCAATATAATTGCTTGCACAGAGCTCCTTGAGATGTTTAAAGCTTGGGAAATCTTTTTGTATCCAAATCCGGCTTTAAACTTCTCCACAACAGTATCTCGGACCTGCCTTGTGTGTTCCTTTGTCTTCATGGTTCTCTCTGCGCTTTAAACAGAACCCTGAGACTATCAAAGAGCAGGTGCATTTATACGGAGACTTGATTACTCACAGGTGCATTCTATTTATCATCATCACTCATTTAGGACAACATTGGATCATTCAAAGATCCTCACTGAACTTCTGGAGCGAGTTTGCTGCACTGAAAGTAAAGGGGCCGAATAATATTGCACGGCCCACTTTTCCGTTTTTTATTTGTTAAAAAAGTTTAAATTATCCAATACATTTCATTCCACTTCACGATTGTGTCCCACTTGTTGTTGATTCGTCACAAAAAATTAAAATTTTATATCTTTATGTTTGAAGCCTGAAATGTGGCAAAAGGTTCAAGGGGACCAAATACTTTCGCAAGGCACTGTAGATACACTTACAACATACATTATCCTTTTGTAGCCATTTTTCAGAGAACATAAAACTGTGTAGCGCTGGTTGTGTGAATCCAATTCTATCAAACAGTTTTCTCTTTTAGAACCTTGATGTCAACAGGAACTACGCAACAATACCGACACACACATACACACAGTGTTTGTCCTCTTCCTATACAAGTCGTCATTGTTGTATGTATTTCATGCTGATGTTGTTGTAAATGTGCTATACAAATAAAGCTGACATTTACCATATTTGCTCTTTAGTCTTCACATTCTCACGGAAACACAGGAAACGACATAGACCTGTTTTCTGTTGTCTCACATCAGATCTGCATAATGAATAGTGTGTGTAAGTGATACTGTTTCCATGAAATGTCTTTTTTGTCTCAAACAAAAGAAAAGAAAAACGTATATACAGAAAAATGCCCTGGAAATAAGGTGTTTTTTGTGCAGAGAGACAGCTGAAGTATGAAACTATTATTGTATAATGTCTGAACTTGAGTGTGTATCCGGAGTGTCATGGGAGGTCCTTGTTTGTGGAGGATTGAGTCTTGTGCTGTTGTTTTCATTCATGTGGCTTCTGTGAAATTGATACAGCTGCAGTCACATGTAATCCACTAGGAGAAGGCTTTCAACACTGCTTTCATTCATGAAACTTCCAAAACATGCTACGGTCTCACAAATGGTGCAGATTCTCAACATTGTGATCGGTCTGACCGACATCGATCTTTTGACTTTTTAACCCTCGGGTCAAAATGACCTGCCACAGTGGTTAATTGACCCTCCAAATTGCAAAGAACATAATTTCATGTGAGAAATTATCAAAACTAATTCATGGGCAATAATATTGTTTTACAAGGCAGAAAACTGCTCTGTGATATGATATACTATTACAAGACTGAGACTTGTTCTGACATGGTTAAAATCACAATATGTAACCTGTAACAGTTTTCAATGTGATTCCTCTGTAGTAACCTGTTCTGTGTCTTGTGCCTCAGTGATGGAGTCTTCGGTTGTGAGCACGTCCACGGCGGTGGGGGAGGAGTTTGACAGAAATGTCCCGCGGATCTGTGGCGTCTGCGGAGACAAGGCCACGGGGTTCCACTTCAACGCCATGACCTGCGAGGGCTGCAAGGGCTTCTTCAGGTAACTTCATATTCCACATCACACACAGTCAGCTCTACACGTGTGGTGACATTATATTCTCATATTGATAACTGTATACTCCAGTGGGCTGCGGCATGTTAGTGTGCCTTGAGATGTTGCGTGGTGTGCCTTTGGAAATGATCCAATGTCTTATTGGTCAAAATTATGTGAAAATAAAATAATTTTAGATGATCAGAAAGACTTTTTTTGTTCTCGTTAGATTTTCTATACAATACACTTTGAGAATCTATATCGTTAATAAAGGCTGCAGAGTTTCATGTTAGTATTGATGTGACATGAGATAAGATCAGAAAAGATGTGTCTCAAAAAGGCTGGGGAACACTGCTGTACATCACCACAAAAGATTTGTTCTCCTTTGTCAAACATATTAGAATTGTGTGTGCAAACAGTGCGTTGCGAAAGTATTCGGCCCCCTTGAACCTTTCAACATTTCGCCACATTTCAGGCTTCAAACATAAAGATATAAAAATTAAATTTTTTGTCAAGAATCAACAACAAGTGGGACGCAATCGTGAAGTGGAACGAAATGTATTGGATAATTTAAACTTTTTTAACAAATAAAAAACTGAAAAGTGGGGTGTGCAATATTATTCGGCCCCCTTGCTCTAATACTTTGTAGCGCCACCTTCTTCCGCCCATTCTTCCTTGCAAAACAGCTCGAGCTCAGTGAGGTTGGATGGAGAGCGTTTGTGAACAGCAGTCTTCAGCTCTTTCCACAGATTCTTGATTGGATTCAGGTCTGGACTTTGACTTGGCCATTCTAACACCTGGATACGTCTATTTGTGAACCATTCCATTGTAGATTTGGCTTTATGTTTTGGATCATTGTCCTGTTGGAAGATAAATCTCCGTCCCAGTCTCAGGTCTTTTGCAGACTCCAACAGGTTTTCTTCCAGAATGGTCCTGTATTTGGCTCCATCCATCTTCCCATCAATTTTAGCCATCTTCCCTGTCCCTGCTGAAGAAAAGCAGGCCCAAACCATGATGCTGCCACCACCATGTTTGACAGTGGGGATGGTATGTTCAGGGTGATGAGCTGTGTTGCTTTTACGCCAAACATATCGTTTTGCATTGTGGCCAAAAAGTTCGATTTTGGTTTCATCTGACCAGAGCACCTTCTTCCACATGTTTGGTGTGTCTCCCGGGTGGCTTGTGGCAAACTTTAAACGAGACTTTTTATGGATATCTTTGAGAATTGGCCGCCTTCTTGCCACTCTTCCATAAAGGCCAGACTCTCCCACCTCAGCTGTAGTTATCTGCAGTTCATCCAGAGTGATCATGGGCCTCTTGGCTGCATCTCTGATCAGTCTTCTCCTTGTTTGAGATGAAAGTTTGGAGGGACGGCCGGGTCTTGGTAGATTTGCAGTGGTCTGATACTCCTTCCATTTCAATATAATTGCTTGCACAGAGCTCCTTGAGATGTTTAAAGCTTGGGAAATCTTTTTGTATCCAAATCCGGCTTTAAACTTCTCCACAACAGTATCTCGGACCTGCCTGGTGTGTTCCTTTGTCTTCATGGTTCTCTCTGCGCTTTAAACAGAACCCTGAGACTATCAAAGACCAGGTGCATTTATACGGAGACTTGATCACACACAGGTGCATTCTATTTATCATCATCAGTCATTTAGGACAACATTGGATCATTCAAAGATCCTCACTGAACTTCTGGAGTGAGTTTGCTGCACTGAAAGTAAAGGGGCCAAATAATATTGCACGCCCCACTTTTCAGTTTTTTATTTGTTAAAAAAGTTTAAATTATCCAATAAATTTCGTTCCACTTCATGATTGTGTCCCACTTGTTGTTGATTCATGACAAAAAAAATAAATTTTATATCTATATGTTTGAAGCCTGAAATGTGGCGAAATGTTGAAAGGTTCAAGGTGGCCGAATACTTTCGCAAGGCACTGTATGTCATGGATTGCACTGACTGAAAGAATGAGATTCATGTGGCTACAGTATCTGTCAGCTCAGTGCAACAGGCTCCAATATTACAGCAGCTTCGTCCAACATTTCACTGCTCATTGTAGATGACGGGACTGTGACAGTGCTATGTGCTCACCAGGGGCTGCCATGTACGATGTACACATTCAAATAATATCAAATACTTTTTCTATTGCAATAATATTGAATTGTGGCTCAAATATTGTAATACTATTGAAATGTCACATTTCTACCGACGCGTGTCGCTGTCATTAGAGGTGTAACGCAGATTTGGACAAAGTTTCTGTAGCAGACACTGGTGATGATCCAGGAATGTTGGTCATCTGACCCCTTGTGGACCAATGGCTCTGTTATTTTTGTTATCATTGCATTTCTTGTGTTTGAACCGTTTGATTCTCTGATGTTGATGAATTCAACGGTTTGGTAAGTCCTCTGAGATGAAGTACTGTTGTGTACTATACAAGAATGAATAGTCTTGAATTGAAGAGGGTGCAACATAGCCAGGATAATTCATTGGATCAGGGATTGGTTCTATGATATCTGTTGATGTGCATTCAATGCATTTCAATTTATCTAACAAAACTACTCACTGGCTGATATTAATCCAGCAAACCAGGTAAAGCATCTAAAATAGATGAATTATCTTGATCAGGCCTTTAAAGCTGTACATTTAATAAAAACAGCATTTTGGCATAGTTGTAATCACATGCAGCCTGATATGCCCATTTCACATTTTATTTAAATCTCCATGGAGCAGCTCGTCTCCGTGACCCTGGAGTTCCCTCTGCTCTGAGCTAAAAATTTTGCGTATCTCCACCTGTTATCAACGCTGTGTTTTTGAGCGCTGGTGGAACTAATGGAGCTGTATGTAAATGAACATACACATACACAATCCTCCCCCTCACTCACACTCACTCATGTAGCTGTAATGTCCTCCCATGCTTACATAACAACTGTTTACCCTGAGATACAGGCCAAAGGTGACAGGACCATAACGGCTCCAACCAGGACTGTTCCACTCTCGGCCTCTGCACAATGTGACCTGACCCACAGCTCAAATGTTAAAGGATTCAACAACATGTGGAAGTGGCTATTTACAGCTTTTCAAAAAAATGATGAAACATTAAGTAATAATTGCTTGAATTTAGGGATTTTAATCTCAATTTGAGTACATTCTTACAAGATTGGTCAATGGCACAAAGCCATTTAGTCTCATTTCAAGAGCTGTTGCTGTATTTCCTCATTCCAAGAGCCAATGCTTGGAATTTTTTAAACAAGATAATTTTGCTCAACTTAATCATGAACAAAAATAAAACCTTCAGCATGCTTTTTTCAAAACACCTGTGTCCGAATCAACAAAATGTATCCTTCTATTTGTCGGCTGGAAGTAAACTTGAAAGAACAAACGCGTTTAAATATCTGGGAATGTGGATTGACACAGAATTAACCTTTTCAACCACTTTGCCACAAACCCAAAAGAAAATAGTACAACAACTTATACTGCCGATCATCGACTATGGAGACATAATTTACCAAAACACAACGGACACTGTTCTGAAACCTGTGACCGTGTTATGAACTCACTCTGCAGGTTTGTGCTAAATTGTCATTTCTTCACTTATCACTGTCTAATGTATAACTCACTGGAATGGTTGAAACCAAGAGAAAGGAGGCAGTATCATTGGTTAACGTTAATTTTTAAATGTATCCATAATGATCTTCCTAATTATTTAAAACTATTGTATTCGATTCACATCTCAGCATTCTCTTCGAAACTTACTCGACCCCTATTTCAGAGTTCCACTGGTGAAGAGGGAGGTCGGCAAAAATGCATTTTGTTTTAAAGCCCCATATGACTGGAATTCAAGCTGGAGAGACTTGAGAAGACAAAATGCATTTTGAAAGTTTTTATTGAAAGGTGGTTTGGCGCCCTAGGCCCCGGTGCGGCGTTCAGTCAGCGAGGCTCCTACGTGAGTGCGCGCACAATCCCCCCGGGACCTAGGCACTGGTGGTGGCATTCGGGCAGCAGGAAAGAGGCATGCTTGAGGCAGGGTGAGAAAAGGAGGAGGAGGGAGGCGGTGGTTTGCAAGGCTTCGAGAAGGCCCTAAAGTGGGAGTTTCTCCGCTTTTAAGCTGCTCGCTGGACCAGCGTAGGTTGGTTGGAAATGGGCGTTTGCTGTGCAATAGGCTGAGGATACGAGGCCGGCCTGGAAGGGGTGGCTTTAGCAGTCTGTCTTCCAGTTGAACTTCGAGCAGCAACATCTGTTCATTTATATAGGTCACTATTCCATGACTACTTAAATAAACCATGTATATGCTAGTTTCTGACCATACATAATGCTCTATAACATTGTAAATTGTAAATGAGTGAACCCCCTTTATACAGCACACGGATAGCTCAAATATTGATATTTAACTCCTGTTAAAATTACGTGTATGTGTGTGTATGTATACATATGTATGTGTATGTATGTATATGAAGATATTCGGATTGAACACGTGTGTGTGTGGGTGTGCGTGTGTGTGTGTGTTGTGTGCGTATGATGTACAATATATATATATATATATATATATATATATATATATATATATATATATATATATATATATGTAGTTAACAATTCATGTTTGAGTTACGCTTGTTACATTTTTAGGTCGAGCCAATACGAAGTATTGGGGAGGCCTATTGTTATTCACCGGTTTCATATTATTATTTTTTTTCCGCATCTTCAATTCGATTTTTGACCCTGAAGACATGCACGAAAGTCTGCACATGGGGGGTCTAAAAGGACCGGTCCGGCAAAAAATTTGATAAAACGGACGTTTCCAGATTGTCCGACAAAAGGCGAATCAATAGCGCCCCCTTGAAAATTCAAATTTTTCCATTTCTATTGGAGGCAGGATTGCATATTTTGGAGTAGGTACACAAAATTCGGATGAGTGATAGATCTCTATGAGACGAGCATAAAAGCCGTTCTAAGCACATGTCTGGGACCAACAGGAAGTCGGCCATGATGGGCCAAAGTTTCGCCACTAATTTGACTTTTCATTTAGAAATTCGAACTAGTCCCTGGTTTTTCATCACACAGAGTTCTACCACGTCATTTCCCAATCTGGACGGATTGAAGTTATATAATCATCAAAAAAAAGTTAGAAAATCTTCACCGTTTTTGTCCCTCGCCATGGCGAATAAGGCCTTAGTTTTGGCCATTTTCGCTGAGGCCTGAGGGCCACAGGCTCAGACCTACAGAGCTGAGACTCACATCAGTAATATTAGGTTATGGCCTGAACGCAATGACACTAAAATCATTCGCCCAATTTGAGCTCTTTAGCGCCACCTGTCGGAAAGTAATAGGGCACTAGTGCTCGGATCGGCCCGAAAATTGCTGAGGGTATTCTCTGGACTGAGACGAGCAAAACATTACATCACGCAAAAGTTGTACGTCCCACACCTGACCACTGGGGGCGCCGTAAAGTAAAGGAATGAGCTTTTTGGGGCAAAATGTTTGTCCGATGAGGCTTCAGAAATACAGTGTATGACCCTGAACACAACGATATGCAACACACAACTGTGAGTGCAACAGCCCCACCTACAGGCAGTTCAAGGTGTTGCATTTTTGGCTTCGTACTAGTCCCTGGATTTTCATCGCACAGAATTCTACCATGTCATTTCTCCATCTGGACGGATTGAAGTTATACAATCATCGCATAAAGAATTTTGTTATCATTTTCATGCGAGGTAGCGGGGAATTTCTCCATGTTTGATGCTCTCCTGACCACAGGCTCAGACCTACAGAGCTGAAACTCACATCGCTAACAGTTGGTAATGGCCTGAGAGTAATGGTGTGAAAACACACACCTAATATGACTCTACAGCGCCACCTATGGAAGGCTTCTGACCTAAACTTTTCCGATCTTCACCAAAGTTGCAAAATCAAATCTTTACATCTGTACGAGCAAAATACTACTCTACGTAGAGGGTGCATGTCCCGGAGGTGACCACTAGGGACGCACTTTATCATATAAATGAGCTTTTATATACGTAATCCTGGTCAGATCGGGCTGCCAATTTGTCTGCGTGACGCTTGTGGGACTGGCGCCCAGTAGGCGGTCGCAAGAGGGGCGAGGCCTTTCATCGCCGCTTGCGGCTTTAATTTATTTTTGTTTTTTATTGCTGATGTTAGCCATCTAATTTGTTATTTTTCTTCTGTGATAAAGGACCGTCTTGAATAAGAAATAGTTTATCTCAATGGGGCTATCCTTAAATAAAAAAAATAAAAAATTAAATTACGTCTACATCTTTAAATTGTTTTGGAGTTGGAGTTATAAAGATATTACTGTGATAAAATACAATGGACGTCGATAATAGTCAATAGTTAATATGGTTTTCAAGCAGATTATCACTTATTACTTTGTTTTAGATCAAAATTGATATTTCTAATGTACTATATATGAAATCATGAGCCACAGGTGTCACAAGCCTCATTCTCACTGAGCAAAAACACAGATTTATCGTCCAAAAACCACCTCTTACCTTCCACACTGAACGACACGGGTTGTTGTCAGAACGACTCGCCAACATTTAACCCGCCTCACCATCTAGTCTTTTTGCAGAGGTGTGTTCAAATATAGAGGAAATTTAGGCAACAACAAAACTAAACTCTTTTAAAGCTTGCTGCTCACATGTGGGACAATACTACATGTAAACGTAGAGCCATGTTTGGGTGAGTGAAGCCCTTATCGTCAGTTTGCTGCTCTTTCCATTATAAAGTTCTCCTTGAAAGATGTTTGAAAATGGTATCTCGCTCCATGTGGATGAAAAACCTGCTGTCGTCCATTATAATGCAATTCCCTCTGGTTCTGGGTTCCGTAGAAGACTCATTTTGGAAGTCAGAAGTTTGTTTTGACCTGTTCCCATCTTGAAAAGTCTAAACAACACCCATACCTTTCACACTTTTGGCATTTCAACACTGGTCAAAAAACACCGGGCTGCTGAATTAAAATGGATCAAAATGATTACCATATAGCGGGATTGGGAATAATCATTTTATATCTTGCTATATTGTAATATATATTACAGTTACTGCTAATTTACACATCACGCGTTACAGCACGTACGCGTTATACGCGCAGCAGACGCGCGTAACTTTTTTCCATGTTAACCTATGATGATATTTACACTTCTAACGTTATACGCGCGTATGACTCAAAGCTGCGCTCTAATTTAGGATGGATTTCTAATTTTGTGCGCGCACCAACGCGTCTCCCATTGAAATCTCATGTAAAACATGATTTTTCTAGCGGTCCTTGGCTTTAGATCACATCTGCACACACACAGCACTTGTGTCTAAACATCAGCAGGAGGAGCAGCAGGTTTTACAGTGATTCTGGACATCGTTTTTTTTCTTTCATAAAGTCTCGCGTCTGGCCAAACCAGCGCACAGAGACCATGAGGACAAACACATGCATGTGATTTGTGTTGCTCTACATCAGTCCTCTGGCCTATACTGTCCTCTACACTGCTCCATAGACACACACATGGAGAGCATCAGAAGACGCGGACCTGCGCGCACGGCCAGTGTAGATACTCCAAAAAATGTTACGCGCAGAGAGCGCGCAGTAAACGCGTACGCGCTGTTTACGCCTACTGTGTAAATTCCCTGTTAGTCTCTCCATGTGTCTGTATGTGCGTGTACAGTATACAGTACAGACAAAAAGTTTGGACACACTTTCTCATTCAATGAGTTTCCTTTCTTTTAAGATAAGATGTGCTTTATTTATATCACAGAGGAGAAATTTACATGTCACATTTGGCATGGATAGAACATCATGACTATTGACTGTAGATTCACACCCAGGTTGTGTAAGGGCTGTTTGACTAATAAGGAGAGTGATGGGTGCTGGGCCAGATGACCTGGCCTCCACAGTCACTGGACTTGAACCCAATCCAGATGGTTTTGGGGTGAGCTGGACCACAGAGTGAAGGTGAAATGGCCAACAAGTGCTAAGCAGTAATCAGAGCAAAAGGTGCTACTTTAAAGAACTAGAATATAAGACTAGTTGTTTCATACTATTTTTTTTTTCTATTTACATAATTCCACATGAGTTAATTCATAGTTTCGATGCCTTCAGTGTGAATCTACAATTTTCACAATCATAAATAAAAAACCATTTAAATAAGGTGTGTCCCAACTTTTGGTCTGTACTGTATAGTTTCTCCATGTGTCTGTATGTGAGTGTACAGTATTGTTTCTTCATGTGTCTGTATGTGAGTGTACAGTGTATGTATAGTTTATCCATATGTCTGTGTACAGTATAGTTTCTCCATGTGTCTGTATGTGAGTGTACAGTATATATAGTTTCTCCATGTGTCTGTATGTGCGTGTACAGTGTATATATAGTTTATCCATGTGTCTGTGTACAGTATATTTTCTTCTTGTGTCTGTGGGTGTACAGTATATATAGTTTCTCCATGTGTCTGTATGTGCGTGTACAGTGTGTATGGTTTCTTCATGAGGCCTGATCCGTGTGTTTTCGTGTCTCTCCAGGCGCAGTATGAAGAGGAAAGCTGCGTTCACGTGTCCCTTTAACGGTAGCTGCACCATCACCAAGGACAACAGACGCCACTGCCAGGCCTGCAGGCTGAAGCGCTGCGTGGACATCGGCATGATGAAGGAGTGTGAGTACAAGGGGGAGGAAAGGGAGGGAGAGGGGGGGAAGAAATGAGAGGAGGAGAGATGAGAGGAGAGATCAGAGGAGCAGACAGGAGAGTGGGGAGGGGGGGAGAGGGGAGGAGCTGGAGGAAATGGTAGAGGAGGAGAGATGAGAGGAAAGAAGATAGAAGAGAGAGGGGGAGGGGGAGAGGGGGGAGATGAGATGAGAGGAGAGCAGATGGAGGAGAGAGAGAAAGAAGGAGAAGGAGAGAGGGGAAATGAGAGGAGAGCAATTATAGGAGAGAGAAGGAAGGGGGAGGAGAGCAGATAGAGGAGAGAGCAGGAGTAACTAACTTTCAAACCACAAAATTGGAACAACCTAATCCATGTCCCTAGTTCTGGGGTCACAAACCTGTTCAAATTCCGGGGCTACCTAAAGATGACCAATTATACACAGACTGTACTGTATGTAATTTATTTGAAATGGGGAATTGTACATAACCCCTTGTACATAACCCCTACATAACATCTCTCAAGTTCCAGTGGTTTCAATTGTATCTTTCTCTCAGACAAAATGGAGTCAGTACACAGTTTATATAGTCATTGTCACGTCACACATCGAAAGACATACGTGTCACACAGAGACAGTCACATCATAGTCAAAACATGGAGTCATCATCAGAGTCCTTGTACAGTCCTGCACGTAGGCCATATTGCTATCTAATACTAACACATCTTTAAGTCCAACTATTATGCATTAGTTTGAGTCAAATATTTGAAGGGGGTGTTATTTATACTCTTATTTTATGATCACTATGGCTGATTCTGGTTAAACCTGGGGTGAACTCAATTACAACGGTGGGCACGGTGGCTGAGTGGATAGCACTCTCACCTCTCAACAAGAAGGTCCTGGGTTTGAATTCGGATCGGAACAGTGCCTTTCTGAGTGGAGTTTGGATGTTCTCCCCGTGTCCCTGTGCTCCTCAGAGACACACCTGTGCACTAATCATGATGTCAGATCAGCATCTTGATGTTTTTCTCAGCAAAGCAGAAGTGCTCACTATCACACATTTAGACAGATTTGTGAACGATGTTTGAGAGAAATGGTAATATTAGGATTTTTAGATCTTTAAGTCCATCTCATGGAAAATGGAAGCAAAAATAAAACTGTTGCGTTTATATTTTTGTATCTGGTGAGCGTGTGGTAGATTATTCGACTGGGACGACTGAAAGGGGTTGTCTTCATTCAGGTGTGATGTCTTTGCGGCGCTGCTACTGAACTTGAGCTGTTTGCACTGAGGCTCCGGAAAATATTATGTAATGTTTGAGCTCCGGTCAAGTCTCTTTGGGTCTTTACTCCTCTCAGTTTATCAGCGTTATGTTCATATTACTACAGTAACATCAGGAAAAATAACAATGTTAGCCCTCAAGGAACTATACATTTATTACTGTAATGAGCTAATGACGTAGAACAAATATTGGCACATCTTACATATTCTTTTATGAAGATTTGTGTTTTTTATGAGGTCAGGTCATTCTGAACCTAGCTTTTTGCTTGTAACATTTTCTTAACAAATCAAGGCAAAGCAAGGTAAATGTATTTGTACAGTGCGCACAAGGCAACTCAAAGTACATTACAAAGAGTGAAGATACAATTCTTCAGTTGTTGCAGCTAAACAGATCTGTTTTCAACCTGGATTTGAACATTTTCATATTTTAAGAAAGACTTAAAATAGATTTTGCCTCCCCATTTTTAATCCTGACTCTGGACACCAGCAGGAGGCCAGTCCCTGTGCTCCTCAGAGTCCCAGTTTGTTCATATGGCAGTAACATGGACATGGAGAGGATTGTACACAAACAGAGCTGCTTTAAAGTCTATTCTCTGATCACAACATCTGTATTGCATTCATATGTAATCTTTTACTTACTGAGAGCTGATTAGCCCTGAGTAAGGAAGATCCTCTTTTTTTTGCACACAAAAAAAAGCTGAGCTAAACAGAGGCCAAAAATACATGGATGAGAAAACTAGTGATAGAGCAAGGAAGTTGTTACATTACATAGTTAAACTTGCTAAGAAGTACAGATGATGGGTGAGAAACCTTCCTTTGCTATTACATAGTTAAACTTTTTGGTTTCAAAGTTAGGTATACCAGCTTTAATTGTGTTTCAACATTGATTCTCTCCTGGAGTTGTTTTAGTTTCATCTACACTTCATCTTCAAGATGTTTCAGCACCAACCTGTCCATTCTGTCAAACCTGTTAAAGAACAAATACTGTTGTCCTTAAACTAGATAATGCCACTATTCACTTTGGATATGTGGAGAAATATTTATTAAATGATGTAGCTCGGGTCCTTACTAGAACCAGGAAGTATCACTTTAATCCTGTTATCTGGACTCTGCACTTCCTTTCGTTCCAAGTCTCTCCATGGCCTCGCACCAATGTACATCTGTGACATACAGTAGTTAGTGCCATATGAACCAACTCAGACTCTAAGGAGCACAGGGACTGGTCTCCTGCTGGTGCCCAGAGTCAGGACTAAACATGGGAAGGCAATGTGTCTTATGCTGCTATTCTTCCTGAAAATGTGAGTCAGGCTTCTACTCTGACAATGTTCATACCCAGGTTGTTGCACAAGGCGCCTGATTCTGCAGCATGTCTGTTCTTGGGAGCATATCTCTCTCAGTGTGGGCTTCCCTGAGGTTTCTCACTTTAATCCCATTAGGTTTTTTGGGTATTTCCTTGCTAATGTAGGAGGGTCTAAGAACAGTGATGATCCATGACATTTATGGACATGTATGAACAGTTACAGTGGTCATCCCACTGCCTAATATGGACCAATGGCTTCTATGTGCTTGGTATTGGAGTATTTACTGTGTTTGATCGTTCGATTTTCTGAGCTTTTTCCTCCAGAAAGTCCTCTAAGACGACTAATGTTGTGATGTTGGGCTATACAAAATTAGATGAATTGAATTGAGTGTTTAAAAGCACTATGACCGGTGATTCTGAAGGGCTCCTCTCACATGTAAAGATAGCGTGTCCACTGTTCTTTAGGTGAAAAGATTGTCAAGTTTCTATCAGGAAAAACACAAGCTAAATATTCTTATTCACCAATGCCAATGAACCAAATATGAGTAATATATTCGTTAAGGAATAGTGTCACTCGGTGTTCTTTGTGTTGATCATGTTCCAACATCAGAAACAGAACTGCAAATGCTTTTAGCTCTGTTCACTTAATAACAGGAAATTAGTCTAAATGCTCTGTTTTTAAACTCTTTCGACGAATCCTCGCGTATGACTCATGAACAGAGCTGTGTTCTGTCTTTTTCCACCTGTGTCGGTTCACCTGGTTTGGTCTTTCCTCGACTGGTGTTACTGTGCGGCTGTTTTATAGGCTGCACCATTAATCACAATTGAATCTGTGATTTTAGTGGCAGCAAATTAGATTACATAATTTCCTTGTTGCATATTTGAACAACTTGGCTATCCCTATGTTTAGAGCAGGCACGTCTATTGAATTGTCATTATTGGTTAAATTGGAAATAAGTTCTGAATAACAAACAAACCTCGTGTTAACCAGTGCATCTCACGCCCTTTATCTAGAAAGAACGCTTTGAAAATTTTGTTTGGGCCAAAATGAATACAAATAATGCTAAATATTTGATTTTGTTGTGATTTTCTTTAGATGTCCGGTGTGTCTTGTTTTTATTTTTGTTATTTATTAAAGCTAGTATTATGGTTGTTATTTACCGAGGGAAAAAAGAGTGTAGTGTTTGCACATTCTGAAGTGAAAAGTGGTATGTCTAAATTTCATTTTATTTGACTTCTTTATTTATTATCTGGAGGACCTTGGATTATGTGTAATAAAATACAGTGCTCGTGGTGTGTAGTTACGTTCAAAGATATCTGCAATATTTATGTATTTATTTTTGTACTTTTTATTTTTAGATATTTTTCAAAATTGACATCTATATATAAAAAATCTACAAATATTGTTTTGTTTTTTGATAATTAATTGTTTGGAAGTATATTGATTTGCATTGGATTGAAAGTGCCCTGTATCTACATATCCAGGCAATAGCTGTCAATAGTCAATAGTTGTAAACCCTTAAAAACAATGCAAAGAAACCAAATGAAATGTTCTGGAAGCTATGATAGAAACAGAAGAATATGTGATCCAGCGCTCCATCTGTCAGGCGCAGTGACACAGACTGGGCTTTTGTTGATGTAAATGTTGTTAGAATCCGGATGTTGCCAGATCTGTGGTGTTTTTTCCTCTTGATCTAAATTCAAGCTGAACGATCTGTTTGTTTCCGAGAGTCAGTGCGTCTCTAGACTTTACTGTGAGCCGATTCAGTTCAAACAATCCTTTGTTCTAACATAGAGCTGCGTTCTGTTGTGATCCGCCCACTTCCTGAAACACCACTCACTGCTGACGAGAGCTGGGAGATTGTAATAAATATACATTTGTATTGCTTTTTTTTTTTTTTTTTAAAGCGCATTGGCAATAGGGAAAAACAGATTGGACTGTAATTAAAGCCGCATATTTGTGCTGCCGTGTCATTTTATTTTAGATCGAGTTTTTGTGCAACAAGGAAGAGAATTTGTTCCGGGACTAGATTGTGACCAATCACAGCGGACCACTGGCCCCCACTTTCTTGAGAAAATCTACAAGTCTCTTGTTAGCACAGACAGCTGAGGTTAGGGTTGGGCAATAAATCGAATTTAGGCAATTAATCGGCTTTTGAAAAAATCGAATTTGTGAAAAATGTGAAAATCGTGAAATCGAATGAAGGAAATTGTGAGAGTTCCAGCAACACATGAATTATACTTTCAATATCAGCACAGTCTGTACAACACTTTTGTATTACGTATTGGGGAAAACAAATTAAAAATAGTTTTGAAACTTGAATATTTAGCGTAAAGATATTTTTAAGGGCAAAGGTTGTCTTCAGTGACTTTAATGAAAATCGATTTAAAATCGAAATCGTCCAAAGCAGGAAATAAAATTGAGATTTTACTTTTTTGCCATATCGCCCAGCCCTAGCTGAGGTAAACAAGCTGCTTACACAGCGAAACAGCCATCCAAAAGATTTTTACTGTTTTACTATGGATTTGTTTTAATTAGTATCCTATTGTGTAGTACTGAGGACACTGTGTTTATGCGATGTGCTAAATAAAGTGTATTGAAAGGGATCGGATTGAAAATTCAGGACGGAAGTTTAAGCTAGGGACTTTTTTTGTAAAGTTCTCCACGAGTGCAGCTATGTGGTGTCTCTGTGTCTGAAGATCCTCCAGAGATATTAGATTACAGGAGTATCTGCTCACAGAAGTGTGCCATGGATTTATTATGTTATTACAGTCACGGGAGAATCAGAACTCAGGCTGGAGTTATATGTTCACAAGCACTGTGTCCCCCATTGTCAGTCCTGGTTTAGTCCTGGTTTAGCTCTTGGTTGTTCTCGAGTGTCTTTGTCTTCTTATTCTGACCGGCTTGTGTCCTTGTGACCACTTTGCTGCTCTCTGACTGGTTGCTGCACAAAAAAGTTGAACAATGTTCAGTTGAACAATGTTTCACCATTGTACGTCACCTTTGACGCATCACATGGTCTTGTGCTTATTTCCTCAATATCTCTAACTGCATTGTAAAATGGAACTAACGTTTTACCTGTAAAATACGCGTTCTCCTTGAACTGTGCAAATTTCAACCACCCTACAATGGTCCCAAGGCATCTGAAAAAAGTTTGATTAAAGTTGTGTTACCAAACTTAAAATATTAATATTAAAGTCTTTTTGAGACAGAGGCCCAAAATACATGCCTGTGAAAACAGTTTGGCTTTTGAGAGCAAGGAACAAGTGACATGGATTTTTATTACAAAGTTTTTTCTTTGCAAGTTAGATACCCCAGCTTTAATCCAGTATGCTTTTGTTTGATTAGTTTTGTTGTTGTTTTCCAAAACATTGAAAGCTCTTTTGGGCTAACTTGGTCTGTGAGATGTGCTTTATAAATAAAGATAAAATTACAAATGTGCCTCTGTGTTTGTTCAGTCATCCTGACAGATGAGGAGGTACAGAGGAAGAAGGACCTGATCCAGAGGAGGAAGGACGAGGAGGCTCAGCGCGAGGCCCAGAAGGAGGCTCGCCGGCCCCGACTCTCGGACGAGCAGAGCCAGGTCATCGCCACGCTGGTGGAGGCGCATCATAAGACCTACGACGACTCTTACTCAGACTTCTGCCGCTTCAGGGTGAGTGTAGCTTCAAACTGGATCATAGGCCTCATTCTCCCGACGGTTTATTACATAGCTTTGTCCATCTATATACATTAATGAAGACCAATAGTGAAGCGCTCAAAGACAAAGTTCTGCTCCATATTGCTCTGGCTTCTATTACCTTATATTGAAAAGTAAACTCCTCTAGCTCAGTTACTGTTTGTGTCCCCATTGTGGGATTTTAAAATGTGCTTTAGTGTTCTCTGAAGCCTTGTTTCCACCATCCCTACTTGACCCACCAATACTCTCCCCTACCTGGTTGCGTTTCCTTTTATGCTTAACTATCCGGATACCATATTCTAGCAACCAACAAATGCCTTTACAAGAAAATCGGCTCCAGCTAGCTTATGTTCAAATCTGCTTCTTCTGCATTCGACTATGGGTGTCATCAGCACTCCTAATATATGGTCCATGGTTTATTACACTATTCACTTATGGCTGGGGTATCTAACTTTTTCATTCATTCATTTTCTGCCCCTTTATTAGTTCATTTCTGGGTTGGGGGGGTGGCAATGAGAGCTGCCACCCAATACTCATAGCACCAATCCCTTGCTGATCCTCTGCAGGCGGTGAGTCCACAGGAAGATGGCTGCTACATCAGCGATGCCACAGCTTTGGTGTCTCAGCGGGAGCTTCGGGCAGTGTGGGGTTAAGTGTCTTTGACACAATGACAGCAGACATTAGCGGGAGCAGTTGGAATAGGTCCCGTGGTGGGTTTGAACCCACGACCTTCAGGCCCAAAGGCCAATGCTCTACCAACTGAGCTACTGTCTCCCCTGGGTGTCTAACTTGTTTTTCAGAAATAATCCCTGTTCTTTGTCCCATCAGAAAGTCTTTAAAAAAAAAAAAATTAGCTCGATAGTTTTCCTGGCCGCGATGAATTCCATTTGCATGCTTGTTTGTTTTCCCGTCTCCCTCTCGGGTCAGAGAGCTGCAAAGTGGTCACGCGTGAGGCGAGCAGACTGAAATAGCTCAAAAATACAAAAAACGGGACCTAAACCAGGACTAAACCAGGACTTAACCAGGATTGACAAAGGGGGACACAGTAGTTGTTCTCATTCAGGCTCTAGTAGTGACAAAACTAGCGCAGTTAGCTAACTAGCTAGCTAGCGTGTTCGCCGATGCGAAAGTACCGTTTAATAATAAAATAAACTTATGACACACCTGTGAACACATACTGCTGTTATATAAAGTCTCTGGAAGGTCTCAGGACAAAGAGATGCTGCAGAGCTGCATTATTGGCAAGAACCTTACACAAAAAGCCGCTAGCATGATGCCAACTTTTTACTTCCGCCACTTCGGCGGTGGTCTTTAAAAATAATAGTGTATTTCTCTTTGAAAAGGTGTACCTGCATCATTATCATTGTATTAGATGAAAATGATATCAGAACGACAATACTATCGCCTATCGCAATAAATTCTGAGACAATTAATCGTCCAGCACAATTTGTAATCGTGACAGGCCTACGTGCATATTATGCGAAATAGTTTCTTTGTAGCTTTTAACCATGTTCCTCATCAAAAACAGACATGAAGTTGTTTTAAGGTCCATCCACGCTAATATCAGGAACATCTGGCGTTTACAGTATCTCTGCCCCTTCTGTCGAACATCGCACTCACAGAAAAGTATTGTACATACATTAGTTTTGGCAATTTCTCTGGTGAAAAAAATAAACACTCAAACCCTGCTTCTTGTGGTAGCATAGGGAGTGATAGAATGTTTTGCCTTTCATACTGTTTCTACTTAAGTTAATTAGGCCGAGCCAATACGAAGTATTGGGGAGGCCTATTGTTATTCACCGGTTTCATATTATTATTCTTTTTCTTTTTCCGCAACTTCAATTCGATTTTTGACCCTGAAGACATGCACGAAAGTCTGCACATGGGGGGTCTAAAACGACCGGTTCGGCGAAAAATTTGATAAAATGAACGTTTCCAGATTGTCCGACGCTCGCCGACTCTATAACGCCCCCTAGAAATTTCATTTTTTTGGACCCTCTGGGGATTTTTTTTCAAATTTTTGAGTAGGTATACGAAATTCGGATGAGTGATAGATCTCTATGAGACGAGCATAAAAGCCGTTCTAAGCACATGTCTGGGACCAACAGGAAGTCGGCCATGATGGGCCAAAGTTTCGCCACTAATTTGACTTTTCATTTAGAAATTCGAACTAGTCCCTGGTTTTTCATCACACACAGTTCTACCACGTAATTTCCCAATCTGGACGGATTGAAGTTATATAATCATCGAAAAAAAGTTAGAAAATCTTCACCGTTTTTGTCCCTCGCCATGGCGAATAAGGCCTTCGTTTTGGCCATTTTCGCTGAGCCCTGAGGGCCACAGGCTCAGACCTACAGAGCTGAGACTCACATCAGTAATATTAGGTTATGGCCTGAACGCAATGACACTAAAATCATTCGCCCAATTCGAGCTCTTTAGCGCCACCTGTCGGAAAGTAATAGGGCACTAGTGCTCGGATCGGCCCGAAAATCGCTGAGTGTATTCTCTGGACCGAGACAAGCAAAACATTACATTACGCAAAAGTTGTACGCCCCACACCTGACCACTGGGGGCGCCGTAAAGTGAATAGATGAGCTTTTTGGGGCAAAATGTTTGTCCGATGAGGCTAAAAATGAATTCAGTAATACAGCGTATGACCCTGAACACAACGATATGCAACACACAACTGTGAGTGCAACAGCGCCACCTGCAGGCAGTTCAATGTGTCTCATTTTTGGCTTCATACTAGTCCCTGGATTTTCATCGCACAGACTTCTACCATGTCATTTCTCCATCTGGACGGATTGAAGTTATGCAATCATCGCATAAAAGTTAGAATGTTGTTATCGTTTTCATGCAAGGTAGTGGGGAATTTCTCCATGTTTGAAGCTCTCCTGACCACAGGCTCAGACCTACAGAGCTGAAACTCACATCACTAACAGTTGGTAATGACCTGAGAGTAATGGTGTGAAAACACACACCTAATATGACTCTACAGCGCCACCTATGGAAGGCTTCTGACCTAAACTTTTCCGATCTTCACCAAAGTTGCAAAATCAAATCTTTACATCTGTACGAGCAAAATACTACTCTACGTAGAGGGTGCATGTCCCGGAGGTGACCACTAGGGACGCACTTTATCATATAAATGAGCTTTTATATACGTAATCCTGGTCAGATCGGGCTGCCAATTCGTCGGCGTGACGCTTGTGGGACTGGCGCCCAGGAGGCGGTCGCAAGAGGGGCGAGGCCTTTCATCGCCGCTTGCGGCTTTAATGAAAATTGTTATTCGGTGGTTTCATATTATTCTTTTTCCGCCGAAACAATTCCATTTTTGACCCTGAAGACATGCACGAAAGTCTGCACATGGGGGGTCTAAAACGACCGGTCCGGCGAAAAATTTGATAAAACGGACGTTTCGAGATTGTCCGACAAAAGGCGAATCAATAGCGCCCCCTTGAAAATTCAAAATTTGCCATTTCTATTGGAGGCAGGATTGCATATTTTGGAGTAGCTACACGAAATTCGGATGAGTGATAGATCTCTATGAGACGAGCATAAAAGCCGTTCTAAGCACATGTCTGGGACCAACAGGAAGTCGGCCATGATGGGCCAAAGTTTCGCCACTAATTTGACTTTTCATTTATAAATTCGAACTAGTCCCTGGTTTTTCATCACACACAGCTCTACCACGTCATTTCCCGCTCTGGACGGATTGAAGTTATATAATCATCAACAAAAAGTTAGAAAATCTTCACCGTTTTCTGTCCTCGCCATGGCGAATAAGGCCTTCGTTTTGGCCATTTTCGCTGAGCCCTGAGGGCCACAAGCTCAGACCTACAGAGCTGAGACTCACATCAGTAATATTAGGTTATGGCCTGAACGCAATGACACTAAAATCATTCGCCCAATATGAGCTCTTTAGCGCCACCTGTCGGAAAGTAATAGGGCACTAGTGCTCGGATCGGCCCGAAAATCGCTGAGTGTATTCTCTGGACCGAGACGAGCAAAACATTACATTACGCAAAAGTTGTACGTCCCACACCTGACCACCGGGGGCGCCGGAAAGTGAATAAATGAGCTTTTTTAGGGCAAAATGTTTGTCCGATGAGGCTAAAAATGAATTCAGTAATACAGCGTATGACCCTGAACACAACGATATACAACACACAACTGTGAGTGCAACAGCGCCACCTACAGGCAGTTCAAGGTGTCGCATTTTTGGCTTTGTACTAGTCCCTGGATTTTCATCGCACAGACTTCTACCATGTCATTTCTCCATCTGGACGGATTGAAGTTATGCAATCATCGCATAAAAGTTAGAATTTTGTTATCGTTTTCATGCGAGGTAGTGGGGAATTTCTCCATGTTTGATGCTCTCCTGACCACAGGCTCAGACCTACAGAGCTGAAACTCACATCGCTAACAGTTGGTAATGACCTGAGAGTAATGGTGTGAAAACACACACCTAATATGACTCTACAGCGCCACCTATGGAAGGCTTCTGACCTAAACTTTTCCGATCTTCACCAAAGTTGCAAAATCAAATCTTTACATCTCTACGAGCAAAATACTACTCTACGTAGAGGGTGCATGTCCCGGAGGTGACCACTAGGGACGCACTTTATCATATAAATAAGCTTTTATATACGTAATCCTAGTCAGATCGGGCTGCCAATTCGTCGCCGTGACGCTTGTGGGACTGGCGCCCAGGAGGCGGTCGCAAGAGGGGCGAGGCCTTTCATCGCCGCTTGCGGCTTTAATGAAAATTGTTATTCGGTGGTTTCATATTATTCTTTTTCCGCCGAAACAATTCGATTTTTGACCCTGAAGACATGCACGAAAGTCTGCACATGGGAGGTCTAAAACGACCGGTCCGGCGAAAAATTTGATAAAACGGATGTTTCCAGATTGTCCGACAAAAGGCGAATAAATAGCGCCCCCTTGAAAATTCAAATTTTTCCATTTCTATTGGAGGCAGGATTGCATATTTTGGAGTAGGTACACGAAATTCGGATGAGTGATAGATCTCTATGAGACGAGCATAAAAGCCGGTCTAAGCACATGTCTGGGACCAACAGGAAGTCGGCCATGATGGGCCAAAGTTTCGCCACTAATTTGACTTTTCATTTACAAATTCGAACTAGTCCCTGGTTTTTCATCACACACAGTTCTACCACGTCATTTCCCAATCTGGACGGATTGAAGTTATATAATCATCGAAAAAAAGTTAGAAAATCTTCACCGTTTTCGTCCCTCGCCATGGCGAATAAGGCCTTCGTTTTGGCCATTTTCGCTGAGCCCTGAGGGCCACAGGCTCAGACCTACAGCGCTGAGACTCACATCAGTAATATTAGGTTATGGCCTGAACGCAATGACACTAAAATCATACGCCCAATATGAGCTCTTTAGCGCCACCTGTCGGAAAGTAATAGGGCACTAGTGCTCGGATCGGCCCGAAAATCGCTACAGCGTATGACCCTGAACACAACGATATACAACAAACAACTGTGAGTGCAACAGCGCCACCTACAGGCAGTTCAAGGTGTCGCATTTTTGGCTTTGTACTAGTCCCTGGATTTTCATTGTACAGACTTCTACCATGTCATTTGTCCATCTGGACGGATTGAAGTTATGCAATCATCGCATAAAAGTTAGAATTTTGTTATCGTTTTCATGCGAGGTAGTGGGGAATTTCTCCATGTTTGATGCTCTCCTGACCACAGGCTCAGACCTACAGAGCTGAAACTCACATCGCTAATAGTTGGTAATGGCCTGAGAGTAATGGTGTGAAAACACACACCTAATATGACTCTACAGCGCCACCTATGGAAGGCTTCTGACCTAAACTTTTCCGATCTTTACCAAAGTTGCAAAATCAAATCTTTAAATCTGTACGAGCAAAATACTATTCTACGTAGAGGGTGCATGTCCCAGAGGTGACCACTAGGGACGCACTTTATCATATAAATGACCTTTTATATACGTAATCCTGGTCAGATCGGGCTGCCAATTCGTCGGCGAGTACGCCGCGTGACGCTTGTGGGACTGGCGCCCAGGAGGCGGTCGCAAGAGGGGCGAGGCCTTTCATCGCCGCTTGCGGCTTTAATTAGGCCGAGCCAATACGAAGTATTGGGGAGGCCTATTGTTATTCACCGGTTTCATATTATTAGGCCGAGCCAATACGAAGTATTGGGGAGGCCTATTGTTATTCACCGGTTTCATATTATTATTCTTTTTCTTTTTCCGCAACTTCAATTCGATTTTTGACCCTGAAGACATGCACGAAAGTCTGCACATGGGGGGTCTAAAACGACCGGTTCGGCGAAAAATTTGATAAAATGAACGTTTCCAGATTGTCCGACGCTCGCCGACTCTATAACGCCCCCTAGAAATTTCATTTTTTTTGACCCTCTGGGGATTTTTTTTCAAATTTTTGAGTAGGTATACGAAATTCGGATGAGTGATAGATCTCTATGAGACGAGCATAAAAGCCGTTCTAAGCACATGTCTGGGACCAACAGGAAGTCGGCCATGATGGGCCAAAGTTTCGCCACTAATTTGACTTTTCATTTAGAAATTCGAACTAGTCCCTGGTTTTTCATCACACACAGTTCTACCACGTCATTTCCCAATCTGGACGGATTGAAGTTATATAATCATCGAAAAAAAGTTAGAAAATCTTCACCGTTTTTGTCCCTCGCCATGGCGAATAAGGCCTTCGTTTTGGCCATTTTCGCTGAGCCCTGAGGGCCACAGGCTCAGACCTACAGAGCTGAGACTCACATCAGTAATATTAGGTTATGGCCTGAACGCAATGACACTAAAATCATTCGCCCAATTTGAGCTCTTTAGCGCCACCTGTCGGAAAGTAATAGGGCACTAGTGCTCGGATCGGCCCGAAAATCGCTGAGTGTATTCTCTGGACCGAGACGAGCAAAACATTACATTACGCAAAAGTTGTACGTCCCACACCTGACCACTGGGGGCGCCGTAAAGTGAATAGATGAGCTTTTTGGGGCAAAATGTTTGTCCGATGAGGCTAAAAATGGATTCAGAAATACAGCGTATGACCCTGAACACAACGATATACAACACACAACTGTGAGTGCAACAGCGCCACCTACAGGCAGTTCAAGGTGTCGCATTTTTGGCTTCGTACTAGTCCCTGGATTTTCATCGCACAGACTTCTACCATGTCATTTCTCCATCTGGACGGGTTGAAGTTATGCAATCATCGCATAAAAGTTAGAATTTTGTTATCGTTTTCATGCGAGGTAGTGGGGAATTTCTCCATGTTTGATGCTCTCCTGACCACAGGCTCAGACCTACAGAGCTGAAACTCACATCGCTAACAGTTGGTAATGGCCTGAGAGTAATGGTGTGAAAACACACACCTAATATGACTCTACAGCGCCACCTATGTAAGGCTTCTGACCTAAACTTTTCCGATCTTCACCAAAGTTGCAAAATCAAATCTTTACATCTGTACGAGCAAAATACTACTCTACGTAGAGGGTGCATGTCCCGGAGGTGACCACTAGGGACGCACTTTATCATATAAATGAGCTTTTATATACGTAATCCTGGTCAGATCGGGCTGCCAATTCCTCGGTGTGACGCTTGTGGGACTGGCGCCCAGGAGGCGGTCGCAAGAGGGGCGAGGCCTTTCATCGCCGCTTGCGGCTTTAATGAAAATTGTTATTCGGTGGTTTCATATTATTCTTTTTCCGCCGAAACAATTCGATTTTTGACCCTGAAGACATGCACGAAAGTCTGCACATGGGGGGTCTAAAACGACCGGTCCGGCGAAAAATTTGATAAAACGGACGTTTCGAGATTGTCCGACAAAAGGCGAATCAATAGCGCCCCCTTGAAAATTCAAAATTTGCCATTTCTATTGGAGGCAGGATTGCATATTTTGGAGTAGGTGCACAAAATTCGGATGAGTGATAGATCTCTATGAGACGAGCATAAAAGCCGGTCTAAGCACATGTCTGGGACCAACAGGAAGTCGGCCATGATGGGCCAAAGTTTCGCCACTAATTTGACTTTTCATTTATAAATTCGAACTAGTCCCTGGTTTTTCATCACACACAGTTCTACCACGTCATTTCCCGCTCTGGACGGATTGAAGTTATATAATCATCAACAAAAAGTTAGAAAATCTTCACCGTTTTCGTCCCTCGCCATGGCGAATAAGGCCTTCGTTTTGGCCATTTTCGCTGAGCCCTGAGGGCCACAGGCTCAGACCTACAGAGCTGAGACTCACATCAGTAATATTAGGTTATGGCCTGAACGCAATGACACTAAAATCATTCGCCCAATTTGAGCTCTTTAGCGCCACCTGTCGGAAAGTAATAGGGCACTAGTGCTCGGATCGGCCCGAAAATCGCTGAGTGTATTCTCTGGACCGAGACGAGCAAAACATTACATTACGCAAAAGTTGTACGTCCCACACCTGACCACCGGGGGCGCCGGAAAGTGAATAAATGAGCTTTTTTAGGGCAAAATGTTTGTCCGATGAGGCTAAAAATGAATTCAGTAATACAGCGTATGACCCTGAACACAACGATATGCAACACACAACTGTGAGTGCAACAGCGCCACCTACAGGCAGTTCAAGGTGTCGCATTTTTGGCTTCGTACTAGTCCCTAGATTTTCATCGCACAGACTTCTACCATGTCGTTTCTCCATCGGGACGGATTGAAGTTATGCAATCATCGCATAAAAGTTAGAATTTTGTTATCGTTTTCATGCGAGGTAGTGGGGAATTTCTCCATGTTTGATGCTCTCCTGACCACAGGCTCAGACCTACAGAGCTGAAACTCACATCACTAACAGTTGGTAATGACCTGAGAGTAATGGTGTGAAAACACACACCTAATATGACTCTACAGCGCCACCTATGGAAGGCTTCTGACCTAAACTTTTCCGATCTTCACCAAAGTTGCAAAATCAAATCTTTACATCTGTACGAGCAAAATACTACTCTACGTAGAGGGTGCATGTCCCGGAGGTGACCACTAGGGACGCACTTTATCATATAAATGAGCTTTTATATACGTAATCCTGGTCAGATCGGGCTGCCAATTCGTCGCCGTGACGCTTGTGGGACTGGCGCCCGGGAGGCGGTCGCAAGAGGGGCGAGGCCTTTCATCGCCGCTTGCGGCTTTAATTCACTTTCTAATTCTCATATTTTTGAAATATTCTAAAACTTGAAATTGGAAAGTGCCACATTATCAAAAAGCTTCTCATTTGTTCTTATAATAGAGCTCAAACATTGTTGGCGTTTTCCTCTCGTGGCTGAAATTTCTGCTGTCCCTTTCAAATGTTTTGCTTTAGTACAGTACATGACCTAATAGCTTTCTCTCCCAGCCTCTGATTGTAATTGTCCTGTTTTCACATATTATAGCTGTGTGCAGTAGTTTTAACCGCTTGTTGTGTTATGGATTCTGGTGCAGCCTCCGGTTCGTGAAGGTCCAGTGACGCGCAGTGCCAGCCGCGCCGCATCCCTCCACTCTCTGTCAGACGCCTCATCAGACTCTTTCAGCCACTCTCCAGGTGAACAACACTAACGCTGTCTTAAAGGTCCTAGATTGCGCATTTTTAACCGTCCATCCAATGGACATGTGTGAGAATAATTTGAGTGAGACACAATACAACATTCAAAAATTGTGAGATTATAGCTGCTGCATTCCTCGTCTTAGGGTCAAATAGATTTGTCACATATTTACACCCAAAAAAAACAAAAAAACCCACTACAGCTTCACCAAGCTATGACCCAACCATAGACATACGCTGGACTCAGATGTGATTCGATTCGTCAACCCCCTTCTGAATTTAAGTATTATTATTATTATTATTTTGGACAACAGACGGCATATGTATTGTGCATTGTTTTCCATGTTTTGACAACATTATATTAGCACAATTTTTAACACAGAAGCTTCTGCATCATCCCTCTTCATCAATGTTGTGTTCATCATAGATGTGGACCTGGGCATTTTGGTGCCTCTCAAGAATGCAGGAGAGGGATCGCTCTCTGACTAAAGTTTGAAGGAATCAATTAAAAAACTACTTTGGGCATGTGTATGAAGGCCAAAAAGCACTGTAATCAAGTCAAAAAAGTCAAAAAACGTATGGGACTTTTAAAACAGTAGTACACAAGCTAATCCCTCCATCTATGAAACACAAGGCCCTAGAGATGCTCCTCTTGTGCCCCGTTTTTACCAGAGTAGGACCATTACCCGTTACCATAGCAACACACTGTTTACCAGCAGCAGTTAGTATTCATTAACTTTTCAACCAGCTGCTTTTACTGTATTAACTCTAGAAATCCCAGAAGTCAGAAATGGACTTGCTTTGAAAAGTAAACTCCTAACTCCGAGCTCAGTAACCGTTTGTGTCAAACTATAATAAATCCATGACTTAGACCACAGCTATTATGTCGATATTGCCTTTGTAAATCCAGATATGAGCCTCTACTTGAAGCTGAAATGTGCGGGTTGCAAAAGTATTGAGCCCCCTTTTCTCCGTGTGCAACCCATTCTCTTAATACATTTGCTGATGACTGTCCATCTCAGTGTAATCTATTGCTCTGTCATTCTGTCATGGCATTGAATCTGTGAATCTTGCTTTGTTGGTTTTTGCGGCTTACATAATGTTTATTTGTTTTTCTGAGCCTGTGACCTCACACTCGTGACCTGGAGACTCTCGTACAGTGGCGGAGCCAGACTTTTAAAAAGAAGGTGGCCAGGGGGAGGCAAGGTTTTTTTTTTAAGGGGTCCACATTTATACTATTCAGACATTTTATTTCACACAAAAACTGGCTAAATGATACATTTTAATCTTAATCTTATCTTTTATTCTTTATATAAAGTGAACTGAGTGCACACTTGGAAACTACAAAGCAAAAAAGTGAATTTGTTTAAAGAAAAATGTAATGCAAATTCCTGCGGTTCTGATGTAAAGCAGCAAAGATGTTGAAAAACTCATCCATATTGAGCCCTTTGCCCTCCTTGACTCCACACTGAGGATACCCAGATGACTACTCTAGTAGTTCTGAGATGGTTTTTAATAAGTTTTAGGGCAGAGAAACTTTTTTCACAAGATGCAGTATTGGCACTGAAACTGAAACTGAATTTTATAAGCTATATTTTAATACAACACCACTAATTCCTCATCATGAAAATTCTCAAAACCTTACTGCCTCCGTCTGACCTTCAGGTGAGGTTTCATCATCCTGATCTACAGGCCTTTTCTTGACAAAAAAAGACGTAATGTCTCCTTTTCTTTTCATGTTTACACTTAAGGGAAGAGGGCGATGATACAATGTGCAATTAATGATGGAGAATGCACACGCATGCACACCCGCACGCACAAACACACACATGCAAACCCGCACATGCACACCCGCACGCACATGCACACCCGCACGCACACACACGTGCACACCCGCACGCACACACACATGCACACCCGCACGCACACACCACACACACGCACCACACGCCCGCACCACACGCCCGCACCACACCTGAAAACAGGACAATTACAATCAGAGGCTGGGAGAGAAAGCTATTAGGTCATGTACTGTACTAAAGCAAAACATTTGAAAGGGACAGCAGAAATTTCAGCCACGAGAGGAAAACGCCAACAATGTTTGAGCTCTATTATAAGAACAAATGAGAAGCTTTTTGATAATGTGGCACTTTCCAATTTCAAGTTTTAGAATATTTCAAAATTATGAGATCATTTAGTCATGGTACTACTACTGTCATGTTGTGTTTTAGAATGTGAATTAATAACTTAAGTAGAAACACTCCCTATGCTCCCACAAGAAGCAGGGTTTGAGTGTTTATTTTTATCAAAATCTTAAAATTACCAGACAACCCATGAAAAGCATTAGCATACAGCACCGGCTCCACACCAAGCCCCGGTGATCCAAGATGGCGCCCTATTCAAATGAATGGCTTGTGCTCAGTAGCGCATGGGACTTCACGGGGACCGGGAGATTAGCTGAACTTGCCTATATTTGGGCATCGTCTGGTCCCCCCGGTTCTGCGCAGTGGATTATCTCCCATGATGCGTCGCGCCAAATGTGCGTGTGTGGCTTTCATCCACGCGCACAGAGGGGCTTTGCTGCGCTTTGACCAATCAGAGCTGCTGATCAGAGCAGCGGTAGAGCGGAGTCAGAGCGGGAAGGAAATGAGCAGAGTTTGTAAAGTGTGGATTTTAAGAAAACCGAAAGATTTAAGAAGAAAAAAAGTTCAGGATGACAAGGGACACTAAAATCCCCACAAAATACAATCTTTATCAAAGCTGTAGGTTCTCTGTCAGCTAAGGTCGAGCTGTTTTAATTTACATTGAGTTCTATGGGACTTTTTCTGGGTAGCCCTCGTGAATTTAGTCTGCAGTACCACGGGCGCCCCCTGTGCCCATGGGTGGGACAGTTTTAAGCTAGTAATACCCTATCCAGTTATTATTATAGATCCATGCTCCACACGGAGTCAGGGTGCGTTCACAGACGTGAGAATTTTTAGTTTTTGGCGGAAAAAGTGCGGCAGATTTTCAAGATTAACATTATTACATTGCCGTCTTCCGAGGGGGCACTGGGGGTGGCAAGGGTATTTTTAGAGGTGGCAGTGGCCACCCTGGCTACCCCTCTGGCTCCGCCACTGCTCTTGTACTGTTCTTAACCGTATCCCTAACAGTCTGAACTGAAGGAAGTGAACTGAACCCAAACATCGACCAGAACAATGCGCCAGGCCTCAGAGCTGAGTGTATCACCAGTATTTTTAACTTTTATTATTGACTTTAAGGGCGTCCTCCTTCAGCCCAGACACACGCTGTGCTTTCAGTGCCTTAGAACAACAAATACTGCATCATTCAGTTGGACGCTTACCAATTTGTTTTGGGATTGCGTCAGTTTTTAGATATTCAGACATGTAGTTACCCGATGTGGCTGCTGGTTTTACATCTTCAGGTTAAAGGAACCAGGTGTGATATTTATAAATAGTGGTCAATAAAGTAATTACAATTACAATTTCTTGTCTGTGACATGTTACTAATGCAATCCACCTGCTAGAGTTTAGCTGGAAACAGTACAAACTATGTGTGTTATGTATGACTACTTTTTTTTTTGCATCTGCTGGCTTGGTATCTCTGTGGTGCTATTTCTTTGTGAAGAGAAAAAAATATATATATACAAGATAAATTTCACCTCACATCTGGCAACCCAACTGACAATGAAACAACTTCCACTGAATTCAAAATAAATATACACTGTAATGGTGTAATGGTACATCAACCAAACTTTGATGTAAAATATTTTAAGTAATTTATACTCAATTTTCCACTATTTTATATTTTTGGTTAACAAATAAGTACTGTATAATATTATCATAGCCCCCTGTACAATACTGATTTTATTGCTTTAAGTGAAAATACTTTAAATATTTCTTCTGTAAGCTTGGTGGGCCATTAATGACAAAACAAATATATTGTGTTGATTGAAAACAAAATTTGGCAAAGCAGTGATGCTACCCAGAATGCATTGCAGAGCAAAATATAAACTTCTTAAAATTCTACATTGAAGAATTAATTTTAAGAGTGAATATGAAGCAAGTCCTAAAGGAAAATACTTGAGCAACATTTTGAATAAACTAATTTGATCAAATAAGTAATTGTATTTATTTTTTACCAACCATAATTGACAGGGCCAAACCAAAGCACACCTCTATTACCTGGGTTCTTTGCTTGCTTAAAACCAAGTTCTAATTTGGTTGCAGGCACTATTGCTTCTCAGCATGAGAATTTCAGAGTTGAAGAAGTTGAAGATCAATATAATGATTAGAAGATCTAACAAACTTCCTCCAGGTGGACATTTTGAATGAACACTAAAATATTGAGTAAATTGATCATCTCCAAATTATTTTTGCTTTGAAATGACACACAAGATTTAAGTAAATCAATCACTTCAAAGTAAAAGTTTTGGATTCTGTCAAATTGAATTAAATATTCTTTATTACTTAATAAAGAGATGAAGTTACTCAAAAAGGCCGATGCAACCTCTTACGGTATTTTTTTTTTCCTGATTAAAGCAACACTTTCTACAGTATAACATTCCAGTCATTTACTTGTAAACACAGTGATTGAGTCAAAGGATGGCAGCGATACAATTACCAGTATTAGTTATTTGAATACAATCTCATTATTATTATTCCACAGTCTTAATTTTTACTGGAATTTAATTCTGCTCTCTGATTGGATCATCTGCATGAATGTCATACAGCCTATGAAAATCATGTCCAGTATATTTTAAATTATGACACTGTTTGGTTTATGTTTACTCTGTGGGAACACTGTTCATTTTATTGTAGGTGGAGGTATATTTCACAGCCGTTTATTTGCCGGAATGTCTACCATATGCATCTGCTCAATTCTACTTGATAACAAATGTCATGAAAAAAATGTAAAAGAGAAAGGATCTTCACACAACGATGGCGACCGATTACCGCCACTTGCGCAAGTTAAATATGAAGGAAGATTGCTTTTGCTGCCAACTGCTGGATCTGTAAACAAACTACAATCTTCCGTCTGTTCAATAGTGCGTCATCATCGTCTGATCGTCCGTCCCTGTTCTGTGATTGTCCCAAATCCGTGTGAGAATGTGTGCTGTTGTGTTGTTGGAAATGATTTGAGCGCACACAGTATCATGGGGATTAGTGGCAATCCATCACCAATAATTGTGTTTATGTTGATTCACTAATGTCCTGTGTACACTTAAAGTACACAAAAACCATAAAACTAATGACAAAATTGCAGACATTGCTGTTTTCCCACAGCAGAGCAAGTTTCAACAAGGTTTTCAGTGTAGAGACGTCATTATCTTGATCCGAACATGTTTTCCCATGTTTCTGTGACTGTTGTTCTGTTGTTGGTCCTTTTCAAGAGCATGTTCAAATCTAGGCCCACGGGAAAAATGCGGCCCCCTGTGTGATGTTATGGGGCCCATTCATCTTAAATCAATCCTACAACTGAAGCGTCTGTTAAATTCTGCTCCTTGTGTTCTGACTTGGAAAAGTTCTCACGTTACACCAATGATAAAAGAGCATGGGCTTTGGATTCGGGCTCGGATTTACTTCAAAATCCCTCTAAACAAGCAGAGACAAATCATATAAATGTTTTCTAGATCGTTGTCATGGACCAGCTATAATCAGAACAACTTTTCATATCTTGTTACTGTGTGTGTTTCAGAGTCGGACACAAAGATGAACTTCAACAACCTGCTGATGATGTACCAGGAGCAGGGCAGCAGTCCAGAGTCCAGCGAAGAAGAGGGGTCCAGCCTCTCCATGCTGCCCCACCTGGCCGACCTAGTGTCCTACAGCATCCAGAAAGTCATCGGGTTCGCCAAGATGATCCCCGGCTTCAGGTACCAGCGCCATAGAGGGCACATGGAGAGTGTGTGTTCAGTCCGCATTGGCAAATAGTAACATCGCAATAATTAACCCCTTGAGGCCGGAAACGCATTCCCGTGTTTCTACCTTTCAAGCCGGGAGCGCTGTTGCACACTTCTACCTTTAAGGCCGGGAAAGCAGACACGTTTTTTTTTCTTTTTTTGACCTGTTCTCTTCATTGATCAATTTTCTTGACCAATGAAATGCATCAAGATAAACCAAGGATGAGAATTATTTGCGGATCTGCGAAATCTCCTCACAAAGCGCAGCCAAAACTCACTGAATTAAAGCTCAGGTACCTAATTTTTTGCTTGCATTGACAATACATGTTATTTGTGCACAAAAATAAAATTTGGTGGATTTTTTAATATATTTTTTTCCAAACAGTTAGTGCCACTTTATTGGCAAACTCTTTTTGACTTATTGTATTGAGAAACATGTGTTAGTCTCACATTATTTTTGGTTGTTTTTTTAGATTTCTTGTGTGGAAGTTGTGTATATTTTTTGTATTATTCTACTGAAGTTTTATAATAATACACTGCATTCTTATTGACAGCCACAAGTGTCAGCTCAAATATCCCGTTTATATGAAAAATAATAGCCGTTTGTCAATATTTTTGTCATACTCTGATTTGGGCTGTACTCTGAAATCATAAACATAATCACAACCATAATATTAATGGGCAGTTTTTGGTAAAGAGTTTGGATTTTATTTGAAAATATTGCCAGCTAGATTCCTCGCCATTCTCCAAACACATCAGTCTGTTGTACACCTGGGTGCATTCCTCTGTTGGGGGCCCCGTGGACATAGCTGCAGAACAAATATGAAGAATTACTTGAATGTTACACAACTAATCTTTTCTAGTGAGTCACAATATTCAAATATCCCAATGCTTTGATCTGAGGGCGATAAAGGGAGCGGTTTACGAGATCATAAAAAAAGTTTCATCAATGCCATCTTTTTCTCGATCTTATATTTTTTTAGAATACAAAAATAAAAGTTTAACACAACAGTATTTAGAGTAATGGTGAGATGTAAGTAACAAGTTTTCCCCAACACAGCTTTATTTTATTTTTTTCATTTTTTTTTCACTGCCTTCATAATGTTTTGTTCCAACATTAAGAGTCTTGTAAATGTTAAATGTTGTGAACAAATCGGACCACAACACGCCGTCTTCATCCTATTCGAAAACATGTTATCTTTTGCATACTTGTGAGAAAGAGCCCTGTGAGTCACTATCTGACACTTTGGTCTTAAAGCTGATTGACTGTGAGAGATTGGTTCTCTCTTTTTCACTTTCCTGTCTGAAAAATACACGTGAAAAATTGCGATAGAACCAAACTATTTCAAGAGAGAAGGACGTGTTACACGGTTACATTTTTGGTGGTTGTTTAAGTTAAGTGCCCCAGCTTTAAATGAAAAAAAAATGCTATTGGGCTTGAAATGAAACTTCAAGTGAGTTCAAGATAAATGCCAGTATTAGTTGTTTGAAGACAATCTCTATTATTCCACACCCTTAATTTTTTACTGGAATGTCTTTATAACAATATTAATATTTATTTTATAGCATTTATTTGTATAGCATTTTAAAAAACATTGTTTACAAATTGCTGCACTGTCAGCCTAGCAGTACAAACAGTCTGATCAAAAAGAAATACAGCAGAATAAAGCAGGCAGACAACAAAGACAAAACAAATACAAAGTGGAACAGTAAAATAAAACACGTGAAGTTCAAAACTCGCAGTTATATCTTTATAGTCTAATATTATAATGTTGATTTACTTTTATGGATTGTTTTAACATCATACAAGCAGATTATCTATAAACGGGGCTTCCTTTGTTCATGTTTAACTGTAGTTAAGTGTTTGGCCATTGTTACACCTACATTATTATTTATCATATTTTTGCATCTTTACAAATCTCACATTCAAAATAGAGCGCCAGGGACACTATCCTGTATCTGGAATGAAATCTTTGGTCCACGATGCTTTTACTACGACATTTACAGAATGATCCAGCACTATTCTGACGGACTGCAGAAATGTGATCTCATTCTTATCAGCGGAAGCAGGTGTATATTAATATTCACATTTGTGGATGTGGCTCCGCTGCAGATAAGCGCTGGCGTGTGGCTCTTGTGTGTGTTGCTCGCTGAACGTGTCTGGACTCGTATTTCCTGACATTTCAGACGGTGATGGACAGAACAGGATTATACTGGAATGTTTGTCCACTTAGTTCTCGTCCCCTGACCTAAAAACATTGAAAAAGGTTTGAGACGGGGTTGAAACTTGTCTGTTCCCATTAGAACTGAAATGCAAGCAACTGAAATCATTTAAAGAATATATATATGGAATTATTTTCGTCAATACAAATCAAACTTGGGATAAACGTAAACAGTATCTTAAGGATAAAGTCTCCTCATTCCTACTGTTCTGTAACCAGTGATGCAACACTGACATTTCCCCTCTGTGGGACAAAAAAAAAGGATATTTTCATCTTAATCTTAATCTTTGTGGCTCTCTGTTATTTCCTCTGGCAGAGAGCTGACGGCAGAGGACCAGATTGCGCTGCTGAAGTCCAGTGCCATCGAGGTGATCATGCTGCGCTCCAACCAGAGCTTTAACCTGGAGGACATGTCCTGGAGCTGCGGGGGCCCCGACTTCAAATACCAGATCAGCGACGTCACCAAAGGTCCCACACAAACTGTTTATGTTTAGGACCGCACCAGAAACCAGAAACCAGCCACTGTAGCACTGTTTCTATATAAGCCATTCACCAATATCACTTTACAACCTGATCCTGGTCCACTGTGCTATTACAGCTTTTACTCTTTGGTAGTTCAGTATCGTATCGGTCAATGGCATAGTCAGCCAAATGATGTACCGGTATTAGTGAGTTAATAATTGTATGTAAATGATAAGGACATTGATTATTGCTTCAGATATCACCAATTTTAGATTTTTTTTCATCTCTGTTTTGAGGCTTTCATTGCACAGAAAAACATATTTCACTGTCTTATCTCGAGTGAGGGACTCCACAAACCTTAGTCATACTGGTCCTGGAACACGCTTGTTTCCATGGAGATGGTGACTGGTTCCTGTTTGTTGTGCAGCTGGCCACACGCTGGAGCTGCTGGAGCCTCTGGTGAAGTTTCAGGTCGGACTGAAGAAGCTCAACCTTCACGAGGAGGAACATGTTCTGCTTATGGCCATTTGTCTGCTGTCCCCAGGTACTGTCATTATACTGCTACCACTGCTGCTGCTATTATTAACCATATTCTTTCTAAACAATAAATGTATTGTGCCCAATGAACAAGGCATTGAACCATTTACCTTCAATATGAAAAGGGCTTCCTAAACTTTTCAGGCAGGGAACCCCGAAACAAACAAAATTAAAAGGAAACATGTCAAAACATTGTGAATTCATCATATCAAATCACTTAATTTGTGTACAGACCATAGTCACAACAGATCGTGTCACAAAATTGCAGATAATAAAATCAAAGAATTTAAATGAAACCCCATGGGTCTACAGGATAACTAACAGGTTAACTAACGTCCTAGTCCTCAGACCTTCCTGCATCCACAACAAATGAAAAAATAACAAAAAACTGAGAAACCTCGGGGAGGCCCACATTGAGAGAGAGATCCGCTCTCACGAACGGACAGGCTGTAGATTCTGGATGGACTGAGGTTATGCAGAACAGAACAGGTTCAGGGCGGGGAGGGGAGGGGGTTCCGCCCATGAGTCTGGGCCAGGGACTGAGGCCGTGCGGTGCAGGACCAAACATTTCATTTAAACCATATAATTAATAAAGAGCCACATGGTTATTATCATCTATTGACTCCCACTTTGAAAACCACCGCTCAATAAGACCTCTGCAGGGGAATTCACCAACTTCAAGATCAGCGAATGTTAAATTGCTGAATCATTGGTGAGATCTAGAATCTCTCTCTGCGCACTCGATTCAAGATCTGTGTGGTTGAAGTCTGCTCTTTCATCTGAGACTTTCTCTGAGCATTTGTGAAGCTCATGTTTAAAACACACGCTGCAGCCGTCCACCTGTGACTAACGATGCATTAGCATTCATCTGCAGCTCGCCTCATTAACAATGCAGAAGTAACGGCACGAGCTCAAAGGAAACTTCATTAAGACGGAGAGACGCCATTTAGTGATAGAATTAAATCATCTTAAAGCAGAGGTTTGTAACTTTAAAATCACAAACATTGGAACTTTTTATGTAATAAAATCCATGTGCCGTGCTCACAAGTTGTTTCTATCTCTAGTTCTCACATACTCGCTTACGTATGCAAAAGATGATAAGATGAAGACAGCCGGATGTAGACTGATTAGTTCACAACATTTTACTTTTACTCCAGTCTGAAATGTGTTATTTACCAGATGTTAAAGGGTGGGATTAAAAAAAAGTTTATACTTCTTTCCATTACCTTTTGAGATATGTTTAATTTTATCTGGCAACAATAATTGTAAATTTATCGAGTATGATTTTGAACTGACTTTGTGAAATACTCGATAAATTAATTCATTCTATCCAGTAAAACACCAACATCCTCAGAATTGGCTCCTTGGTTTCTAAAATGTAGCAGTTTTCCCATAGAAATAGTTGGAATAGTATATTATTTAATATTAAATAGTCCACTAACCCAAATGTATTTATTGTCCAAACAACCATAGACTGGAACCCATATTGTGGCTGTTTTAAAATCTTCTACATGTTATAATTATATCCTGTCATTGTTTAGACTATACATGTAATACAAGTTAGCTTGTTTGTGAGCCGTGGTTCCACATCCTGCTCTGTGCCGCCCTCCCACAGTTTCACGCCAGGGATAAAACCTCAAACCCACAGATCAGAACCAAGCAGAACATGATCAGGACACAAGCCAGTGGCGGAGCCAGAGGGGTAGCCAGGGTGGCCACTGCCACCTCTAAAAATATCCTTGCCACCCCCAGTGCCCCCCTCGGAAGACGGCAATGTAATAATGTTAATCTTGAGAATCTTCCGCACTTTTTCCGCCAAAAGCTAAAAATTCCCACTGTTTCCCCCGTCTGTGAACGCACCCTGACTCCGTGTGGAGCCAGTGCTGTACGCTAATGCTTTGGGTTGTTGGACACACATGTGCCCAAGTCGTGATGAAAACAAAGAGGTAAGTTAGCAACGCAGAGCCAACCGTTTACATTTGACACAAAGTATAGACACACGTACTGCAGCGCATTACTTGTTCAGTTTGTAGAACTTTTAGTGTGTGTATGTGTGCGTGTGCGTGCCTGTGTGCGTGCCTGTATGCGCGCCTGTGTGCGCGTCTGTCAGCCTGTCAGTGTGTGTGCGTGCCTGTGTGTGCCAGTGTGGGTCTGCGTGCCTGTGTGCGTGTGTGTGTGCGTGCCTGTGTGCGTGTGTGTGCGTGCGGGGTGCATGCGTGTGTATTTTCCATTATTAATTGCCCATCGTATCATCGCCCTCTTCCCTTTAGTGTAAACATGAAAAGAAAAGGAGGAAACATTGCCTACAGATGAAACCTGAAGGTCAGACTCGGAGGCAGTATGTTTTGAGATGATGAGGAATTTGTTGTGTTGTATTAAAATATAGCTTATATAATTGAGTTTCAGAGAATGAGAGGGTGTCGCAGACAGGTGCAGGATTGTCTATTGGCAGAAGGCGTTTTTTCACACACAAAAAAAGAAAAAAAATAGCTAAGATTATGGATGATGTGCAGTCGCTTAACCCCAAAATATTTTTGAAAGAAGAGCCCCTGTTTTCATTTGGCAGAACCTTTGAGTCAGATATAGAGGACGAGGTATGAGGTACGTCAAACTAGGCGGCTTCTTGGGAGGAAAAAATGGATTAGAGAGTCCCTATTGGACTTCCTTGTCCTTTTGGAATGTTTGGAAAGTTTTTCATGAGCTTTTGAGGCTTGCAAAGATCTTTTTAATGCCTGTCAGTACTGCGTCTTGTGAAATAAGTTTCTCTGCCCTAAAAACCATCTCAGAACGACCATGGCAGATGATTGAGTCATCTTGGTATCCTCAGTGTAGAGCAGGGATTAAAGAGTTCCGTCTAGGTGACGGATTTCCGTCAAATTAAATTGGACTGGAAAAAAAAAAATATATATATATATAATGAAAATAATACACACAATGAAATGATTGATTATAAAAATAATATATAGTAATACATATATGTGTGAATCTGTTATATATATATATATCGATGTATAATAATAATTTGAATATAATTGTATTTATATGTATATAGAAATAATAAGTAATATAATCACGAGTGGGCCTTGAACGTGCCGTGGCCACATGAGCGCTCCGCAAATGAATCAAGGCAATGGGACGTAGCTGAGCTCACGCGCAAATGAAGACGCGATGAAGTTAGCATTGGTAACACGGAGGTGAAAGTTTCTGGAAACTGCACGGAGCTTTTGAAAAGGAGAAGAGGAGGAAAATTGAATCTCGAACGGAGCAATAACAGCAGCAGATCCGCGGACTGGTAAGCTGGGCGCGTAATAGAGGAAAGGTAATTAACGTTTACCAAACGCAATGCTATTTTACTTAACGGAATGTACAAAACAGACTTTGCTGCAACTGGGAATGGGGACAAACATGTCTTGGTGAGCTTTTGATATTGTCTTGTTTGCGATCTTCTTGCAAAACTCAGCGTGATGTAAAAGAGCCAATCAATGAGTCATGGTGCGAAAAGATGAAAGTGGCCGGTGCTTGTGCGTACTTTGCCATAAAAAATTGCATGTATGGGAGTAATGAGAAAAAAGTTTTGATTCGCCACCAGCACAAAACTGCGCACAAGGCAGCTGTTTGTGCACTTTCCCACACTTCATCTTTACCTGGTGCATCAACAACTAACACTAGGCTTGCTATGGCAGACCGTGTCTGTGGCTTTATCGCAGAAAATAACGTTCAGAATATCACTACCGCTGGTAGATTTATTTAAATCATTTGCAGTTGATCGAAGTGCACTGTGCACTCAAACTTGATAGGGAAACCTTTTTCTTAAATATTGACGTGTCCACAAACAAATGTGGACAGAATGTTATCGTCCTTTTGCAATATTTTGACGAGGACAGAGCCAAAGTGTTGACGCTCCATATCGCCTCAAGTAAAGCTACTCTCACTAATATTCTGTCAAAAAGTTTACTCGTTGCTTGATCCACTTATATTTCATATCAAAATACACTGTATATCTTTGAAGAATTCATTTGAGCTGTATTCAATATACAATCTATTATACAATAATATATTGTAATTACAAATATAACTTGGTCCTGCATATTACTGTGATTTACATGTGATAAATATCCATGCGAAAATTTTCAGTCAAATCTTTTTTTTTTTGCTTTAACCCCTGGTGTAGAGTCAAGGAGGGCTGAATATGGATGAGTTTGTCAACATCTTTGCTGCTTTACACCAGAACCGCAGGAATTTGCTAAATTTGTTAAAAGAAAAATGTAATGCAATGTTTGAATTATGTTATTTTGCACTTTTTTGTTCAGACTTTCATTTTCATTTCATTTTCGTTTATTTGAGCTATTTGTGTAAAAAGACATAAAAAACAATGAACAAACAGGCATAATTTGCGCTGTATGCAATGATAAAGCAAGGCACACAGAAAAGCTCAAAAGGAGTAAGCTGAAGTATAAAACTTGTTAATGCTTACCCCTTTCTCATATTCTTTTTCTTGACAACAATTGTGTTGTTACAGACAGTGGTAAAGTTAATTTAAATGCATACATCATAGAACACAAGTTGCGTGTACAATAAGAAAACAAAGTGTACACAAAAGAGAACGAAGCAGATCTAGCAAAGGAGAGAGAAGAAAAAAAAAATAATATATTTATTTAGACTACTATTTAAATACACTTTTTTGCTTTGTAGTTTCCAAGTGTGCTCTCAGTTCACTTTATATTAAAAAATAATGACAAGATTAAGATTAAAATGTATCGTTTAGCCAGTTTTTGTGTGAAATAAAATTTCGGAATAGTATAAATGTGGACCCCTTAAAAAAACCCTTGCCACCCCCTGCCCACCCTCTGTTTAAAAGTCTGGCTCCGCCACTGACACAAGCGCAGATGGAACTCCTGCAGTGAGCGAGGGTCTGCGCAAATTCATTAATCGTTATAAATAGGGGTGCAACGGTTTGAAAAAATCACGGTTCGGTTCGTACCTCGGTTCAGAGGCCACGGTTCGTTTCATTTTTCGGTTCGTCTTTTTTATAAACACGGCTCATGTGGACTCGGCACCTGCTCTGACGGCCCCCCCCTGACCTAGAAATGAATTAAGGGGAAGGAAATGGATGGATGGATGGAGGGCATATTCCATCCATCCAATTATGTCTATTTAACATAATTAATGAAAAACAACACAAAGTGCAACATAAGAAGGCACTTTATGAGGATATTTACCCTCATATATTAAACCACCTTCCTGATTCTCCCAAGGAGGCGCTCCATTCTGGGCCCAGCCTCATGCATTTATTAAATTTTTGGTATCATCAGTTGTGACTGGGATATTAGTACTGGGCCTTTGTCTTCCATTCCTCCGCTGCTTGTGTCAGAACCTGCGCTGTGTGACTGTGTGACTGTCGTAGAGGGGGCGTGTCTGCAGCGCCAGACTTTTCATCTCCCAGTCTGCGGTGATGAAGTGAGCGGTTCCGCTCATGGATCTATTATAGGTTCCGCGCAACGTCCAAGCGTCAGTCGTGAGCGCAGCTGAGGATGCGCGGGAGAGTTGACTTTAGCCCGGTCTGACTGTGCGTAAAGGAGCTGCTTAAATGCCGCGGCAATAAGCGGTCGTTGAGACGTTTTTTTTCACTCATGTCTTTCTTGTGCCACAGTATTTACACATTGTGACAGTTTTATCAAATATTAATTATCAGTGTAGTTACAGTGAAGCCAAAATGCTCTCATTAAGGGGATTTAAATGACGCAGGGCTTTCAAGCTCCTCCGTTCCTCTGCTCGAGGTGACCACGCTGTGTGTGGACTGAACAACGTGCGCACTTTTTGTACATAAATCAAACCGCGGATCACGTCTGTACCGAACCGAAGACGTTGAACCGAACGGATTACGGATCAGTGATGAACCGTTGCACCTCTAGTTATAAAAGAAAAGATTATCTTAAATAGGATTTAGCTTCTGCTCCTTTCCATCTGCAATCTCCCATAAAGAGAATGCACAATGCTTTCTCCTTACATTTCTGCGTATTGTCCTTAACTTCTTCGCATCTGGTCGACACGCTATCGTGGCATGTTGTACCTCATTTTAAAGCACATAATTCAATGAATCCAAAACGTAATTAGTAATTAATAAAAAATAAAAAAGCTGTAAATCTGTCTACAGCACAGTACAGTAAGCTCAGTATCAACGTTTCTGAGCTTTACAATGAGTTTTGGCACGACTTTATTGGTGGAGCTGAAGTTGACACATGACACTGTGAAAGTACCTCAATGGCTACTTTGTTAGCAAGGCACAGGGCCGCATTTGGACATGTGCCTTAGATGCTGATGCGCTACATTCAATTTCTAAAAAATATCGGCCAACAGAGTGAGTGTTGTATCCATAAAAAAGGTTAATTATGGGGTTTATACATTTTATATTATTATTGCCATTGTAAGTAACAGTCACAATCAAGGACTCTACCTTGGCTCAATGTGCAAACAAGTTGTAAGAGTAAAATCAGATCTAAAGTTTACATTAAAAAAGTCTTCATAACGTTTCTTAGAATTACTACTTTACACAAGTGCACTAAGTACACACAACAAATGCATGAATGTAACTATTTACATTTGGCCTCATCAACCCCACATTGATCGACCTCCACCACAGACCTCCACTCACTCCCCTCTCCTCCCCAGACCGGCCCGGAGTCCAGGACCACTCCCGGATCGAGGTTCTCCAGGATCGGCTGTCCGAGACCCTGCAGGCCTACATCCAGCTGCACCACCCGGGCGGACGCCTGCTCTACGCCAAGATGATCCAGAAGCTGGCCGACCTCCGCAGCCTCAGCGAGGAGCACTCCAAGCAGTACCGCTCCCTCTCCTTCCAGCCCGAGCACAGCATGCAGCTGACCCCCCTGGTGCTGGAGGTGTTCGGCAGCGAGGTCTCGTAGAACCGCAGATACGTGATTATAGAGCCAGGGTCTGAGAACACGTGTGTGATCTAAGATGGAGCTCCAGCAGAGATGAAACGTTGACTAGAGCTAATGTTAAGACCGACAATATCCAGTATGTTTAACAAGTCTCATTCTGCTCAAATGAAGAGAGTTTAAAAAGTGAACATATGACGCCATTACAACATACACAATTGCAACACCTACCAGAAAATGTTTATAGAGTTCTAAGCTATGGTATAAACATGTATTTGTTCAAAAATACAAGATTCAACACCAACATGTGTAAATACATGTACAAGCTTGAATCATTTCTCTCTTGCTTCTGCCCGACAACAGGACAAAAAATAGACTTTTTTCCAAATTCAAGGGATTTTCTGAGTTAATTGCAGTCCTCCGATTATTCATGCAGCCCTATTGTAAACTAAGTGATTTTAAATTGAAATGAATTCACTCATTTCAAGATGTGTCTGACCATTTAAAACATGTCACATTTCAAGAAAAAGGTTTGGTGAATTGACGAATATAGGGTCTTAATTAATGCTAAAGCTTCAAACCAATTAAATATTCCAGCTCACAAGCAAATCCATCTCTCAAAGTCACAAATATGTACGTCTAGAACAGAGGGGCCCAACATTTTTATACCCAACAACCAAAATTATCTGTGTTAGAAATCTGGGAGTTAAAACTATAAAGTTGCTCAACCCAAAGGTGATTGTGCAAAGATACGTATGATAAAAATAATCAATTCTTATACATATCGGCATCACCATCGTGGGTCACTATAAACCTACATTTTGGGCACCCCAGTCTTTTGAAACTACCTAAAACTTTGCATTTCAATGTGACAGAATGGGGGTGTAATATTTGTACTGACTTTTACATCCCATTTAATACCTGATAAATAAATAGCTCATTAAACCCATCTTCTTATTACTTATAAAACTGATATACCTTTTTGAATGGAACTTCCTAAAATGGCTGCTCTCTCTTCTTTTGATCAAGAATAATTTACATTTATCAAAGTCAACGTTTCATTCGAGCGAAGGAGAGAGATTAGGAATGTTTTGTTTTGTCTTTGAACAGTTTAGAGGGAATCTAGGATAGCGTTGGAAAAGATAGTAATTATGTTAAATGGAAGCCGGTGGTTCTCAACTGGTGGACCCAAACACACTTAGCAAATGCGGGTGAAATTCTCCACCCAAAAGTAGTTTAGCTTCACAAAATGTTATGAACTTTTATGTATTTTATCAACTCAAAGCACTTACAATTACAGTAGAAGCTGTATTTACAAATTGAGAATTTAAAATGGTTTGAAATCCTTTTTTCCCCGTCCAACATACTATATTATGTTGACGACTTTTATCTTGAGAAATCGTGTTTGAAATATTGAAATTCCCAAATATATATATTGTTATGTTATTATTAAAATGATCTCTTTGACCTCGTAGTGTTTCCCCTTAACCAGCTATAAAAGATGAGATCAAATCAGTGTAAAAACACGTTAATAATCTTGCATTTATTAAGAAAATAATCTAGATATTGTCACGTATTGTAATAAAAACTTTTTGAATTACAAAAAACAAATCATGCTAAGAATTCTACAGTAGAATTTGACTTTTAAGATTTTTTTTCTTTATTTTTTTTTTTAATAAAAGAAAAAAAAAAAGCAAATTTCCTTCTAGAAACCTTGTTAAATTTCTATTTCCTTCGCCAAAAATTAACACAAATTCCGCCCATGTATTGTATCGGCTTTATGAATGGCTCTGTCCAACTTTTGCGCTGAATATTGCGTAAATTTTGAATGCTGTTTTAAGGCCACTTGAGAACCACTGGGAACGCGGGAGCATAGACATACCTTTATTATGATATCGTTTATTATACATCATATTATGCCTATTTACGAATATTTGTAATGTATTTAAATTTATACAACCTCTGCTGCTTTGGCCTGGACATCAAATACATATGGATTTTTGTCCGTGTATTTTCTACCGACACACAACCTGCATAGCTCAGTTCATTCAGCCATTCTGTTGTTCTACCTCTTTGGGTTGTTTTTTTAAATGTCATAATTATATACTGTACATTTTGGCTCTATGTGAATGAAAGTATGACGCCATGTTATTACCGTGAAAACAGAAAAAACCTACAGATTCGGGTGACGCTCAGCTCATCTGCGATATCAGTGCCTGCACAAGACTTTTCATGTTGTTTTTGATATTTTTAACTTAAGGCAGCATTTGTATAAACCTCTCACAGCGATCGGACAAAGCATTATGACCCCTGTTTCTCTATCGCACCCGTTCCACGAAGCTGCTGGTTCAGGGCTTCTTCAGTTCAGTTTTCTATCAAAGCTAAGCCATTACCATAGCAACACACGGTTTACTCGCAGCTGTTAGCTTATATTAGCTTCTTAACTGTTTTTTGCCATGACCACCTACATTATACCTTCTCAATTACTTGCCTTTAAAAAGTGTTCAAAATTGTATACATTTATTTGTGATTAGTAGTGGACTGACCTTAATGCGGAAGATTAGCCTTAATGCTAACGCAAACAGGCTATACATGCTTCTCTCTAGCTAAAGCGAGTAGCCACAGATTTTCTAAGCCCAAAATGGTGAGTTTGACATAAACAGCTAGTTAGCTACAGTAGAGGAGTTTACTTTTCAATGTAAGCCAATAGGAGCCAGAGCGAGTAGATGCCAAACTTTGTCCATGAGCACTTCCCTTTTGGGCTTCATTGAGCTAGAGGGTTAGCATTGATCATCATTATGCAATCTATGGTTCTAACCTGAAAAAGAGAGGACGACACACATACATGCCAAACAGCTCTGAGCCCAAACTGTCAAATAGTGACTCACAGGGCTCTCCCAAGCATGCAAAACATAGCTTTTCTATTGAGTTGAAGACGGCAGGGGGTGGTCCCCTCTAACAGTTTTCTGCTGCGAGAAACAACATACATAATACAACAATGTATTATTTATGATGCATACACACCCCAGATTTAAGACACTTGTTGACGAACGGGTGCAAACTTTTTCAGTGGTCTCCTGCTTTTCCCGATTGTTGTGAGACTCAAAGCTCCTGTCGCCAAGGGTTTTCTCTTTCTTCCACTTTCTCAATTTAAGCTATGAAGGAACAGGAACCTTTTTTATGTTTATTCCATTTTCCATTCACACATTCTAACGGATTCTGCGTGGCTTGGTGACCACTAATTCTCACACTACAATTATCTCCACTCGCTCAAAAGCCAAGTCTTTGCATTTATCGTTTTTATTCTATTGGAAACGAGTGTAAATACGGTCATTGCTTCCACTCAGCACTGTTAACCAACTTTTAACTCAATGTATTGTTGATGACACAAATATATCTGTAATAGCGATGAAATGGTAAGGGCTAAAATGCCAAATCTAACTGGACATTTTTGCATATTTTAATCAGGCCTCGATGCAACGGGGCCTGACTTGCAAAAACATCACTTTGCAGCGACCAGGCGCGCGTCACGAAATGTTGAGTGCTTTCAGATGGAAATTATTGCGTTGTTTTGGTAAAAATGTCAAATACAATATGATTTTCAGATCAACAAATTCTCCTTTGTCACATATTCGGAAGTAGCATTATGACAGTATTATTTCCAGCCTTTTCAAGCGAATGTCAGTTACTTTTCAAACTGAGAAAAACTTTTTTGTTAGACCCGCCCATTCTCACTGTCACAACTTCCTTATTGGACAAAAGTACCTCCCTAAGAACATCTTGTATGTTTAAGCATATTAACTTGTTTTTTTTTGTATGGAAAAAAAATCAAGAATGAGGTTGGTGTTAAGACTCTGCCTACCAATTACAATTGTAACAATAACGTTGCTTAGTTTGAATCAAATAAATCAAAAACATCTTGGAAAATCTAAAAAAATTTAAGTAAACTAATTATACTTTAAACAGACAGAACATTCCTTGAAAAAGTATTTGAAATGTCGTGACAGAATGGGAGTTTAACAGCTGAAGGAGGATTAAAAAACCTCTTTTAGAAACATTAATTTGACATTTTAAATCCTAACGTCTAATATATTCGGTCTTTCCCCGCCCTCTGCTGAGTCTTGACGCGCGTCTATCGTAACTGATGCAAAAGCTCTTCTTGTTTTTTCTACATGGACAACGTTTATAATAATGATGCAATTCCATGAATTGTTTGTTCCGTATACAGTATACAGACCTCGGATCACAGCCCTTTCATTTTGACTGGGAACAATGTTGAGGTGTACCGCCCTCTGCTGGCTCTTCTGTAAATACCACCTATAAATATATGACATGTCCCTCGCCGCTGTACATAGGGCTGCATAGACAACTATTATGATTTCTCGCTGTTATGTTTGGGAAAAAAATATATGCAAAGTACAATATTGAATCATCACTATGTTTTGACGCAGGACAAGCTATCACGCTAACAGTGCTGCTCTCTGAAATAAGCCATAGATCACCCATTTTTACAGTTTTACAATAGAACAGTCTGTAGTGTGGATTCAGTGGTTATTTTATTAGGTACAACTATTGCAGACTAAGAGAGATTGGATCACAAAGACATAAGACGTCTTCCCTTCTGTCCTACTTGGTCCAAGTTTGAGTCCAGATCTAGTCGTGGTTTGGTCCTGTTCTAATCGGAGCCAAAAAACATTTTGCCTGTTTAATCATATCTATGATTTCTCACTAAGACGAATGATCCAAGGCACTTACTGTCAAATTGCCTGTATTACTATTCAGAAGACATGTTCCAACTGCATGAACTCTTAAAGTTTTGAAACCTAATAATTTAAAAGTATTTATGAATCCATCACTTTAGTACTGAAATACTCCATATCTGTTTATGGAATATACAGTTTATAGGAGCTAGTTTTTGCAAAAAAGGTTAAGGAAATAAAATAATGAATCCCTCAGTGTCTCACAAGAAATACAAATAAACATTTTTAGACCGAAATTAGATCTGGAACACATTATAAATACTA